AAGTTTCAAAAAATCGTAGCAATTAAACCAGGGCCTCCGGGGCTTCGGAAGAAACGGTTTTCGGTACTATTTTTGGTGCTCTTTCAGGTGCACACATCAAAGCGATTTCGCACGGTCGATTTCTTGCGGAATCGGGCTTGAAGGCCTGGTCGACGAGGGCTGCCTAGTTGCAACATTCAAAAAATCCTAGCAATTAAACCAGGGCCTCCGGGGCTTCGGAAGAAACGGTTTTCGGTACTATTTTTGGTGCTCTTTCAGGTGCACACATCAAAGCGATTTCGCACGGTCGATTTCTTGCGGAATCGGGCTTGGAAGGCCGGGTCGACGAGGGCTGCCTAGTTGCAACATTCAAAAAATCGTAGCAATTAAACCAGGGCCTCCGGGGCTTCGGAAGAAACGGTTTTCGGTACTATTTTTGGTGCTCTTTCAGGTGCACACATCAAAGCGATTTCGCACGGTCGATTTCTTGCGGAATCGGGCTTGGAAGGCCTGGTCGACGAGGGCTGCCTAGTTGCAACATTCAAATATCCTAGCAATTAAACCAGGGCCTCCGGGGCTTCGGAAGTAACTGTTTTCGGTACTATTTTTGGTGCTTTTTCAGCTCCACATCGAAGTGCGTGATGAATTTCTCGAAATTTTTTTGGTAAATTCCGAAAAAATCCATGTGGTCCCCCCTTTAGTCGTAAACCATCAAAACCAAAAGTTTCAAAAAATCGTAGCAATTAAACCAGGGCCTCCGGGGCTGGGAAGAAACGGTTTTCGGTACTATTTTTCTTGCGGAATCGGGCTTGGAAGGCCGGGTCGACGAGGGCTGCCTAGTTGCAACATTCAAAAAATCGTAGCAATTAAACCAGGGCCTCCGGGGCTTCGGAAGAAACGGTTTTCGGTACTATTTTTGGTGCTCTTTCAGGTGCACACATCAAAGCGATTTCGCACGGTCGATTTCTTGCGGAATCGGGCTTGGAAGGCCTGGTCGACGAGGGCTGCCTAGTTGCAACATTCAAATATCCTAGCAATTAAACCAGGGCCTCCGGGGCTTCGGAAGTAACTGTTTTCGGTACTATTTTTGGTGCTTTTTCAGCTCCACATCGAAGTGCGTGATGAATTTCTCGAAATTTTTTTGGTAAATTCCGAAAAAATCCATGTGGTCCCCCCTTTAGTCGTAAACCATCAAAACCAAAAGTTTCAAAAAATCGTAGCAATTAAACCAGGGCCTCCGGGGCTGGGAAGAAACGGTTTTCGGTACTATTTTTGGTGCTCTTTCAGGTGCACACATCAAAGCGATTTCGCACGGTCGATTCCTTGCGGAATCGGGCTTGGAAGGCCTGGTCGACGAGGGCTGCCTAGTTGCAACATTCAAAAAATCCTAGCAATTAAACCAGGGCCTCCGGGGCTTCGGAAGTAACTGTTTTCGGTACTATTTTTGGTGCTTTTTCAGCTCCACATCGAAGTGCGTGATGAATTTCTCGAAATTTTTTTGGTAAATTCCGAAAAAATCCATGTGGTCCCCCCTTTAGTCGTAAACCATCAAAACCAAAAGTTTCAAAAAATCGTAGCAATTAAACCAGGGCCTCCGGGGCTGGGAAGAAACGGTTTTCGGTACTATTTTTGGTGCTCTTTCAGGTGCACACATCAAAGCGATTTCGCACGGTCGATTCCTTGCGGAATCGGGCTTGGAAGGCCTGGTCGACGAGGGCTGCCTAGTTGCAACATTCAAAAAATCCTAGCAATTAAACCAGGGCCTCCGGGGCTTCGGAAGTAACTGTTTTCGGTACTATTTTTGGTGCTTTTTCAGCTCCACATCGAAGTGCGTGATGAATTTCTCGAAATTTTTTTGGTAAATTCCGAAAAATCCATGTGGTCCCCCCTTTAGTCGCAAACCATCAAAGCAAAAGTTTCAAAAAATCGTAGCAATTAAACCAGAGCCTCCGGGGCTTCGGAAGAAACGGTTTTCGGTACTATTTTTGGTGCTCTTTCAGGTGCACACATCAAAGCGATTTCGCACGGTCGATTTCTTGCGGAATCGGGCTTGGAAGGCCTGGTCGACGAGGGCTGCCTAGTTGCAACATTCAAAAAATCCTAGCAATTAAACCAGGGCCCCCGGGGCTTCGGAAGGCACGGTTTTCGGTACTATTTTTGGTGCTCTTTCAGGTGCACACATCAAAGCGATTTCGCACGATCGATTTCTTGCGGAATCGGGCTTGGAAGGCCTGGTCGACGAGGGCTGCCTAGTTGCAACATTCAAAAAATCGTAGCAATTAAACCAGGGCCTCCGGGGCTTCGGAAGTAACTGTTGTCGGTACTATTTTTGGTGCTTTTTCAGCTCCACATCGAAGTGCGTGATGAATTTCTCGAAATTTTTTTGGTAAATTCCGAAAAAATCCATGTGGTCCCCCCTTTAGTCGTAAACCATCAAAACCAAAAGTTTCAAAAAATCGTAGCAATTAAACCAGGGCCTCCGGGGCTTCGGAAGTAACTGATTTCGGTACTATTTTTGGTGCTTTTTCAGCTCCACATCGAAGTGCGTGATGAATTTCTCGAAATTTTTTGGTAAATTCCGAAAAATCCATGTGGTCCCCCTTTAGTCGTAAACCATCAAAGCAAAAGTTTCAAAAAATCGTAGCAATTAAACCAGGGCCTCCGGGGCTTCGGAAGAAACGGTTTTCGGTACTATTTTTGGTGCTCTTTCAGGTGCACACATCAAAGCGATTTCGCACGGTCGATTTCTTGCGGAATCGGGCTTGGAAGGCCGGGTCGACGAGGGCTGCCTAGTTGCAACATTCAAAAAAATCCTAGCAATTAAATCAGGGCCTCCGGGGCTTTGGAAGAAACTGTTTTCGGTACTATTTTTGGTGCTTTTTCAGCTCCACATCAAAGTGCGTGATGAATTTCTCGAAATTTTTTTGGTAAATTCCGAAAAAATCCATGTGGTCCCCCCTTTAGTCGTAAACCATCAAAACCAAAAGTTTCAAAAAATCGTAGCAATTAAACCAGGGCCTCCGGGGCTTCGGAAGAAACGGTTTTCGGTACTATTTTTGGTGCTCTTTCAGGTGCACACATCAAAGCGATTTCGCACGGTCGATTTCTTGCGGAATCGGGCTTGGAAGGCCGGGTCGACGAGGGCTGCCTAGTTGCAACATTCAAAAAATCCTAGCAATTAAACCAGGGCCTCCGGGGCTTCGGAAGAAACGGTTTTCGGTACTATTTTTGGTGCTCTTTCAGGTGCACACATCAAAGCGATTTCGCACGGTCGATTTCTTGCGGAATCGGGCTTGGAAGGCCTGGTCGACGAGGGCTGCCTAGTTGCAACATTCAAAAAAATCCTAGCAATTAAACCAGGGCCTCCGGGGTCTCGGAAGATACCGTTTTCGGTAGCAAAAAATACGCTCACAGATATATCTGGCTGATCTAGGGGGGTCGATATGATTGCGAAATTCGTCGTCAAAAAGGTCGCATTCAAGGCCGGGTCTCAGCAGATCGCAGCACAGGTAGATGCTAGAGCTACTCTACGTACGGGAGGGAAGGTTGAGGGAGGAGCATCAGCAACAACCACACCTCCTGGGGACCACCACCCTATTCTAACTAAGGTAGCCGGCGCCGTTCCGGAAATCTCTCGGTGTAGTGCTTAGGCTAGGGCTGCTATGGACGGCTAACTTCGTAGCCCGATCCAACAAAAATCAACAACCAAGTATCTAGCGGTGCAACGCGCCGAGAAAAAATGCCCCAACAAATCCGGCTGGCCCAAAAAAGCATACCAGTCCGGGGGCTCGTCCTAAGCCTAAGCCTAAGCCTAAGCCTAAGCCTAAGCCTAAGCCTAAGCCTAAGCCTAAGCCTAAGCCTAAGCCTAAGCCTAAGCCTAAGCCTAAGCCTAACCTAAGCCTAAGCCTAAGCCTAAGCCTAAGAACCCCCTCCACACTAGTGGGCCAGGTGGGGGGCGGGTGCGAAGCAAGCAGTGAAGCCCGCCCTGCGATTCCGCGACGAAATAGCGTCCGGAATGCGGAAACGCCCGATTTGGCTGAATTGAGGATTGAGGGGTGCTTCTTTTCTTTTTGTCTGTCTTTTTAGTCGTGGCCTTCGTCGACTTTTCTGTAGTCTTTGTGCTTGTTTTCGTCTTTTTTTCCAAAGTCGTACTAACAGAAATTGGCGCGCAACCAGCCAGTTGATATCCAACGCAATTTTGCGGATTCGAGGGTACTACAAAAAATTATAAACCTTCGACATCAGATAGCTCAAGCTTACAAGAAGGTTTTATAGAAGCGCAGCTCTCACTTAATAAAAATCCCGCTTGGAAGCATTTGGGGCCCGTTGCACAAAAAATTATGGACAGACAGCTGGTCCTGTTTATGCAGTCAAGTAGGCAGTCCTGTACAAGAAATGAAAACTGGCGAATTTTAAAGCTACTCTCAGATTTGTTTGAAGTTTGCTGCTAAACGCACTAGATCCAATATAATTCGAGTTAAATTCCTGATTTAGCACGGCTAACCGGTAAAGCCGCCAGCTCATATTTCCCTAAAAGAAGTTTTAAAATATACGGAAACCTTCATACTGTAACAGCCTGTCTCAAGAGAATGAAGGCAAATGCCAGAGCGATCAATAATTTTTGGAGACGAATCATTTTTAGGTTTTTATAGAACTTTGGAGACTTCGAATTAAGGGCGAAGGTCGGAATGCCATGGCAGCTGGAGCCAAAATTTCGCAGAATTCTGTCAATTCCATTGGCTCTGAAGGGTCAAATAAATTGTGTACCGAACTGTTCGGATGTTTGTGTCTGCGTTTTGAAGTAACTTTGGCCAAAACACATCTTATTTCTAGGCTGATTTTTACTTCACAAAGACAGTATCAAAAAACGACATCAAACTGCAGTGGGTGGACACAAGAAGAAGGCCACGAACAGTGATAGGATTAGTGGTACTGTAAGGCTTCAACGTGTACATTTGGATGTAATGTAAGTTCGTTGCTTTACGTATGCTCTTCTACGTTTACGGAGTACGCCGTTACTAACACCGTTTCATACAAACGCAGGCGCCCATGGTGGTTGGATCGGTGGCTGGGCAAATCACGTCGTTCCATCTGCCATCTTTCGCCATCTAAACATTTCCTTAATGCGTCGCGATGTTCATTAAGTCAATATTACATCATGCTTGCTTACCACCGTGCAGTTCTCAGGGACAATTTTCGTCGTGTATTCATGTGGGATGATGTAGGAGGGCTCCCCATTGGCCCAATATGTATAATCAACCGCTGAGCCGTCCCTGAAATAACATAATTAATATTGAATTCAAAAAAACCTCCATATGTTTCGATATCTTGTCCCTGCAATTACATTGGCCATGCCAATCATCACACTTGCGCATTTGGCGAGTTGAGCGATTTTTTCTGAAAAATTATTTAGTAGTTTCCAAAATCAAGAGCGTCTCTAGACGTGAATAAAAATTTCGCATTACTAACGTGAAAGCTTGGCTTGCTCTTTCGCGGAATGAATCGTCGTTAGTTGGAGCTTATTTTGGGTACAGGTCAGCGTGCAGGCCTAAAAAATACGGCTTGATGAACAAGCAAAAATTACTGAGCCGGAGACGCACGTGGGGGTAATCAAATAGTAGTTGGTGTTGTTGTAACTCCAGGTTGGATTGCGGGTCACTGACAGTTAGAAAATATCTATTAATTAAGGCTCCAAGAATACCAAGATCGCATGGACTCTTCGTCGTCGTCACCGTCTTGGTAGTGGTGGTCTTCTTCGTGGTCTTCTTGGTAGTTTTCTTGGTGGTCTTGGTGGTACTCTTTGTCGTTGTCGAGGGAATCGTTATTTTAGTCGTTGTTGTGGCTATTGTAGTTGTTGTAGAAGTCATGGCACTGACTCCAGCGGATACTCGAGAAGCCCCATCCAACTGATACCCCACACATTCGTTCAGGTTGTCAGGTACTAAAACGTCACCCAAATCTAACAAACAAAGCAACAGACAGCTCGGTTTCAGCAGCGCTAGGTTTGTGCTCAATAGAGATGGCGCACGTCCACAGAGCAAATTAGCGTGACAGAAAACGATGGATAGGCAACTTGTTTCGTTTACACACTCGAGCAAGCAATCCTAGAAACTACTATAAAATTTCCAAGAGATCAGCCGCCTTTAGACTTATTCCCATTTGTTTCACAAACTCTGGCGAGTCGCTATAGCCGGGGTTTGAGTTGGCGTCAAGGGTTTGCAATCTGTACAAACGCCATGTCCTATTTGCCTAAGTCAATACTACAACAATGTTTAGCCCCAAATACCATGGCAGTATGGTGACAAAGCAGCATTATAACAATATATAGAGCACGTTTTTCAGGTCCACACATTGTCTCAAGGCTTGAAATATGGAGGATTTCACGTTCAGCCCAGACAGTGTGGTATCATGGCAACGCCGGATCAAATTTCACATAACTCACTCACTTTGTGGATATGAAGTGTAGCTTTATAGTTCGTTAAATTTGTCTCGGAGTGCTTTAATTGTTTGGTTAATTATTGATTCAATTTTTATCGTTCAGGTGAATGGTAAATCTTTTCATTTTTTAACATCGTTTCATACAAACGCAGGCGCCCTTCGTCCAGGGGCTCTCCGCAGCACATTTCACGTCATTCCATGTCCCATCCGCCGCATACATCTATAAGCCATCCTTCTGAATGCTGATCCGTTTTTCATACCACCGTGCAATTTTCGGGAACTACCACGTTGTTAGTGTATTCAGGAGGGATACGAAAGGAAGGCTCGTTGTACTGCCAATGGGTGTAATCGACGGGTGAGCTGTCCCTAAAAGCCTTGGTGGTTTTGTGAGAAGAACATTAAATTTTGGGTTACCAGCTGACCTCCAAACGCTACGGTATTTCGAGCCCGTCCGCACATTCGCCATACCTAGCTGGGCATAATCACAGTTGGCTAGTTGTCTGACTTTTTCTAAAAAATGCATTGACTTCCATCAAATATTAAATTAAGGCTATGCCAAACCTAGGCCTTTGCCTAAGTCTAAGCGGAGGGTAAGCTCAGGCCGGAATTGAAATTCTAAAGCTTCAATCTAAAGCGCGACAAGAATTCCCCAATTTTTTGCAAAATCCTTACGCAAAAATGTGGCCTGTTCCTTCGCGGAGTGGATCGACGTCATTTGGAGCTTGTTGTTCATGCAAGCCGTCGCGCAGGCCTGAAAATGGCTGGGGGAACCGAGTATAAAATACCGTTCCCGATGTGCAACCAGCCACTAAGATATAGTAGTTTGTGTTGTTGTAAATCCAGTTGGGGTTCCGGCTCACTTAAAGTAACTCTCCATTAATGCTTGCGAAAGAAGGTACCAAGATCACAAGGGCTTTTAGTCGTCGTCACTTTTTTCGTCGTTCTCGTCTTCTTTGTTGTTTTTTTCGTCGTTTTCGGCGTTGTTTTCTTGGTAGTTGTAGTGGCCTTTTTGGTGGGTGTCACTGTGGTGCTTGTCGTAGTTTTTGTAGAAACCGAAGAAGAATTAGCTTCAGCACCATCCAACTGATATCCAACACAAAATGTTAGGTCTTCTGGCACTAAAATTAGCCATTTTTGAAAGTCTAATGGCAACTTACAGCTTGATCTCAGCCGTTCAAAGTTTTCAGTCAACAAAAAGTGAGCTTGAACGCAAAGCAAGTCGACCCGACACCATGCAATCGAAAAACAATCTGACGCATTGACACAGCTTAGCAAACATTCCTAAAAAAACATTTAAAAATCGGAATGAAAAAGTTACTCGCAGATTCATTCTAGTGCGGCTAGTTAAACCCCCATAGCTCGTAGAATTGGTGGTCACTGATTCACCTTCCAGGTTTGCCAATCTATAGAGAATCCACGTCGAATTTGCCTAAACCGCAAGCCCTCAAAAATGCAGATATTTCTCTTACGGCAGCGCTCATCTTTAAGAGTACGGTAACATAAAGGATGCATAGCAGTGATGTACGTAGAATCAGCATTTTCGAGGCAAACGTTCTTTGAATGTATTGAATATTTTTGGTTTGCAGCATCGAGCAAGGTATCATGGCAACTAGTTTCAAGATCTCACATCACTCACTCAATTATATTCGACTTGACGGCTCTAACGGCTCGACTTTTGTGCTGGGAACTTTTGGTGGTTATCTGTGTAGTAGAGCAGGATTTGGCACATACACGATCTCCACGATCTCCATTTTATGCTAGTACGTTTTCAGCTTGGTTGGTACAGGTACAGGTACAGGTAAGCTATATACCAAGTTGTCGGAACATCGAGTGTCTCTCGGCTCTCTTAAATTAACATCTTTGCATGCAGACGCAAGCCGGCACAGTTGTCCTAGCATTCCTTTTGCAAAACACATCGTTCCATTGCCCATCGTTGCTCGCCTCTCTACCAGCCGATACATCCATTATAATTTGAAAATCAGCTGTTTCATTGTTATAGACAAATGAACAATTCCCGAGCCCAGAAGAGGCTCCAATTCTGAATTGTCGGCTTCTTCTTGCTTCTCCCTACGATTAGCTGCATAATTAAACCCGGTGCACTTATAAATTGTACTCAACATCTGGTCAAGGCAACCCTGATAGCACTCCACAAATTCCGTTTCCTTTGGATCATAAAGGAATGGATAAGTCTGGATGTAAGCAACGATTATGCTGGATGTTAGAGTAGGGACAAAATAAGAGAATTTCAGTAAGAAAATCATGAAGAAGGACAGCAGCAACGCGATTTGAATTTCTACTAGAATCCGGATTTTTTGTGTCAAAGGGCAGCACGGCGGCCATGGTTCGGTGGTCAAATTATGTCATACAAATCTGGGAGCATGTTGCCCTGCTGCACTCTGTTGCCGGGATTCGGAAATTTGTGGAGGGCATTTTTGATAGAGCACAGTGTAGCGCTTGAACAGTGGGCGCAGAGAGGCTTGAATTTATTGACAACCACAACTAGATTTAGCATTATTAAAATCCGATACGATACTTGGAGTGTGTTTCAATTTAAGGGGACTTCGACACCTGGCATCGCTTCATGCACAAGCATGAGCCATAAGCAGTTACGGAGCTTATTTTGCAATTAACGTCACGCCATTTCCCATTGATAGTGTCCATCTAGAGTAAATTCATCGAAGACCAATTTTCATTTTTCCTTACCAAGCTGCAATTTCTTGCCATGAGCGTGCCGCCGTTCATTAAAGTATACTTTGGTTGGTCGGCGTTCCAGTTTAGGTAATCGACCGGGGAACCGTCTCTGGAATAGGAATGTTACGCGACGACGGATCAACATGCAAATTAGGATGTATTTTGTACTTTGCATCCTAATTTGCATGTTATCCCTACGTCGCGTCGAGATGCATAACATCTTTACTCTGGGAGAAGGAAGAAACCATTCGATTTCAATTAAGATTAAAATCCGAGAAAGAAAAACTCAAAAAATTTCACCTCCAAACCAGTTTCCCTGCTGGCCCCGTTCCAATTTTGCCAAGGCTGAGATGCACACTACCACAACTTCCAATCTAATCCATTATGTCTTAATTGAAAATGTGCTAAGCCGACGAACAATTCAAATGCGACACGCGACACAGAAATCCAGCTCGGGGGAAAAGCCCTTACAGGAAAGGTGCTGATTTTCATCCTCTGAGTGCACGGTCGTCCCTTCGAGGCCATTATCCCGGCACATTGTCATTCAAGGCTAAGAAAAGATGAGGCCAAACTCGATTACTTACCGTTCCCATGACGCATTTTGATTGCATCAAGTAATAATTGGTCTTGTTGTAAGTCCAGGTTGGGCTTCTCGTAACTATAAGGTATTATAAAATCCAAAAGTATCACCGAGAGTGCAGGGATCATTCGGCTTCGTGGTAGTCTTTTTCGTAGTCGTCGTTTTTGCAGTAGTTTTCCTAGTTGTCTTTGCTGTAGTTGTTCTTGTCGTCGTTGCTGCAGTTGTATTAGTTGTCTTAATCGTTGTAATTTTCGGGCTTGTCGTTGTAAATGCCCTGTCCGTCCCTGTCGTTTCAGCGCACCGCGAACATAATTGAAATCCGACGCATCGTGATAGATCTTTTAGGGCTAATTTTTGCTGTATCTGCATGATTGATAAAGGTACCAGAAGAGGATGGCAGTGTCTCCGTCAACAACATCTCCGAAGTTATGCAACTCGAATGAACTTGGCACCAAATTAAAGAAACACAATTTGATTGATTGATGCATTCCGTTAAGCAACCCTAACAATCGGGTGTTTTTCAAAGCCTAGAACGAAAACCCACCTTTAAACTTTCAGAAGTGTAAATCGCCGATTCAGCTGAAATATTTGAATTTGAGAGCTGCGGGTTTTTCAGATTTACTCGCTCCCAGAATCTCTCGCTCTAAACTTTGCTAATCAATTAAGTTTTGCTCGTAAATGGAGACAAAACAGCATATTATGCCATTTGAACTTACTTGAACTGGACGTGTGGCGCCAAAAACGGCAAGGCAAAGGCCGAACAGCATATTCCGGTAAATTTACGTTCTGGCGCACCGAAATCGGGGGTTTTCTCCGAAATACCAGATCTGTCATCGCAATTTACCCTGTTAGTGTGATTCGAAATAGCCAGGCAACCGTCTGCCTAAGCTGTCGCACCAAATCTGAATTTTTTGAAGGTTGAACCAGAAGATAGTCACTTAAAGCAGAAGCCTAAGATGAAGCTCCTTTTAGGCGCTTGGTACAATCGGAGGTATGCCAATTTGTATTTTGAGTTTCCCCATAGTTAACAAGAATTTATTTTTGATCGAAATACGCTGGAACACCTCGACTAACACCGCTTCATGCAGAGACAAGCCGCATCAGAGTAGCAGGAGAACGAGCAGCCCACATCGTTCCACTTCCCGTTGTTGTTCATCTGCGGATTTTGCTTAACTGAAGGAATCTACCCACCAGTGTGCAATTCTCGGGGACGATGGCATTTTGGTAGTTTGTGGTGCGTGACGGGCAGTCGACATCCCAATTGACGTAGTCGACTGGGGACCGGTCTCTAAAAAGACGATAATTAAATCGTCGCCTAAGCAAATTTTTTCAGTAATTAAAGTAGATAAAGCTGTTTAACCTGCCTCCAAATATTCCGATAGTTTTTTCCGGCTTTGACATAGCCCAGACCGAGATGCACCAGTCTTGCAGCACATTTTCCGAGTTGTGTCATTTTCACTGTAATCGTAGAGAGATTTTAACGCTTTTTTGGTTTTTTTTAAACTGATTTACATCATCAAGTTATCCTATCCAAAAAAATCATACGTTTCAGTTGGTCTTGCTCCTTCTGAGAATGGACTGTTGCCACTTGAAGCTTGTTGGTGCTGCAGATGTCTTGGCATCGCTAGATTTGGCTCAAAATTTTCAAAACAGAAGTTGTACTAACGTTTCCCAACACGCAATTCGGCTGAAGCAGGTAATAATTCGTATTATTATAGGTCCAGGTAGCTTTTTGAGGGACTAAAAAGCACGATAAATTGTTAAAACCTAGAAAACTTGCCAAGATCACAGGGCCCCTTGGTGGTAGCCACCTTCTTTTTTGTCGTCGTTTTCTTGCTTGTCCTTTTCATGGTTCTCGCGGTACTTTTCGTAGTGCTTGTAGTCGACGCATTAATCGAGGGCGTTTCTTCGGCTTGGAAACCCATGCACATCGTCAGATTCGGGTATACTTAAACGGATTTAGGCATTATAAGTTTGCTGTTTTACTTATTGCCAAAAGAAAACTAAAAATACAATGTAATTAATTGAAAAAATTACACAAAGAGCTTGGAAAAGCCGTATTTCCAGTCAGTAGGAACCCGGAACGCAAGCAGCTCCAGTCCGGAAGACACCAAATTATGGAGGTACAGTTCGGTTGCGAGATACAATCCGATAGACAGGTCTATGAATTTTGCCAGAAAAATCATTAGACCTGACTTTTAAGGCTACAGCCGTTAGTTTTTGGAAAAAGCCCGCTCTAGTAGCGCTTGCGGCAGCGGAGACCTTCAGAGTTGCCAAATTCTTCTGCCGCCAGCTCTTGTCACCCTACATATGAAGCGCTTGAATATGCAAAACGATCATACTGTGACGCTTGCTGAGGTAATAAGAATAGAAAGCAGGAAACTGAATTGAAGCTTTTGCATCCTGTAGTTTTTAGGAGTTCTTTCCGAGCCTTTAGAGAGTTTTAGAGACTCTACTTTGAGGGCATGACTTTAGGTATCGTAGCAACTTGACTATCCGTCACATAACTCAGTCATTTTCAAGGGCCTTTACTTGCTTGCACATCTGTTTGAAAATGGCGTTTTCTTCTCATCAGTGGAGGGTTGTCGATGTTAATATGTGAGTTCACACCCAATAACGAATCAGAGACAAAATTTGTATTGCCTGCACACACACACATCGATTTTCACGTAAGTCGCTGCATGCAAATACAATTAGCCATGAATCCAGGTCCGGTCTTGGCGCATGAGACATCATTCCATAACCCGCTTACTTGGAGCTGAACGAGACGACTAGGATAATACCCAAAAATACCGTAGTGCAGGCTTCTTCATTGTTGTTAGCGTCGAAATCCGAGGGCTGTTTTTTTGCCCAGCTCGTATAATCGACTGCGGAGCCATCCCTACAAAATGGTTGGTGCAAAATAAAAACGAACTGGCCTCCAGAGGTGGGTATATGAGCCGTTTGGCTGTTTACTATGCGTCATCCCAATATGAGCGATCTGATTGACATCACATACGTTCATACGATGCAGCGTTTCGACTGAAATATTTTTGTGTAGCGTAGGTAAGCACTCACTGAGGGTCCTATTATTTTCCCAGCCCGAATGAATGGTCGGAAGGTCTAGGCAGAGTCCCGCACAACGTTGGAGACAAGCCTGAATTTGCTTTTGGAAAATGGATTGACAAAGTGCTTGTTAAAACCTGATACTTACGTTTCCATTGGCGCAACCAAGATTTTGCTGCCAAAAGTAGTCCGTCTCGTTGAAAGACCATGTGGCGTTGGGGACTATTGAAATTCATTAAATTCCTTCAGGCTTACGGGCCGGACAGCTGGCGTCTAAGGACGGTGCATCATGGTCTGGGGAACTACAGTTTACGGCAGGATCATAACCTACACAATTTTGCGGGTCGAGAAATGCTAAAACTTTCAATTTTGATAAATTAGATAACCATTTTCGTAGCGTTTTGCAAAACATTCCTTACCTAAGACCAGTTTAGCTTGATCCAAACTCGACAAAAGCTTCGTATGCATATTGCAAAGCATTGGGGACGGGCAATAGACAACAGATTGACAAAGGGCCATCGCCGAACAATTACTAAGGCAGCCCTATTCACGATTGCGTTCTGGCCCGGGCAAACTGACACCTTTAGTGTCGCTTTGTCGGGAAGTGGTGCCAGCAAGCTGGTCACTGTTTTCACGGCATTCGAGATTTTGCCAAGAATTCTGGAGATGCTCGTGGTGTCCCGATAATTAACTCGCTGCCAGCTTAGCCCAACCTGAACAGAAATACATTTTTCGTAAACCTAGCCTACAGTAACCGCAACCTCCACGGAAGCAATGATAAGCAAAATTGTAAAAATTCGTCTTGCAGAAGCAGGCATTAAGATTTTTAGAGCGGTAAGCCGAAAAACGCTGTCCTGGCGTGCGCAAACATCTTTTGCAGCTTGGCAACTGTTCTTCCGAAAAGGGACATACTGCCGTATGTTGCTTGACGACAAAACGAGCGATAAAGAATTGTGGAACTTTGGTGATCTTTGTAAACCTAAGTACGTGTTTCTATTCCGTACTACAATCCTACTCCATCCTTGAAAATTGTATCTCCTGCCCTTTCCGTCGCCCTTGCTATCATTTTTCAGGAGTTATCAAAGTCAGAGATAGTGTGCTGTGGAAATAAGATTATTTTAATTTCATCTCGCAAGCGCGTTCGAGCGGCGATTCGGATCTTACAAGGAGTAGTTTTTGAGTCATCGGCAAAACCTTACAAGACCCAGCTCATTCGATAGAGAATTTGATTCTGAACAAGACCTCGTTGTCCTTTTTTGTTCGGAATGGCTATTCCTGATTTTATAAAATTTTAAAACTGCACTCGAAAGCCTATCTTTTCGCTCGAATGGCACTCATGGTAAGAGACAACCAATAGTTTTTGAATTTTAAAAAATCAGGGTTAGCCATTCCGCAAAAAAGGCCAACCGGGTCGTGTTCAGAATCAAATTCTCTTCCGAATCAGCCAGGTCTCGTAAGGTTTTGCCAATGACTCAAAAAAGCACTCCTTGTTAGCAGACGCCGCAAGTCTTTTGCCAACCATGTTGTTAACATTCAGTTACTCAGATAGTCAGCAGGACCCTGAGTGGAGCACGCTACTCTAGGTTTCGTAGCAACTCGGCGGCCGCCCCATAGCTCTGTCATTTTTGCCCCTTAACGGTCTTGATTACAATATCAATGTCAGAAAAGGTTTATTTCACGTTGATGAATTTTAGGAAAGCCGCTGCATACAGACGCAGCGTGCTGCTCCGCTGCTGCATGCGACATCGTTCCATATTTTTTGGATTTGAAGCTGAAAAAGACCATCGTATTCCCGGGGTCACCTACCACGGTGCAATCCTCATCATGTCCGTAGCCATCTATATTGGATGGCTGGGTTGGCGTAGCCCATTTGAGATAGTCGATTGCGGAGCCGTCCCTATAAAAGATAGTGCCTATGATAGTGCCAACCGCTGTCTCACCTCCAGAAATATGTGTAGTTTCCGAATGCGGATTTATGTGTCATGCCGAGATGCACAACCGGATCGTTACAGGAGATGGCCCGGGAAAGGGTTTCGTCTGAAATACAGGGTGTCCCAAAAAAACGAACCATCCGGCATTTCACCGTGTTACATCCAATCGGTCCCAAATTTGGACCAGGAGGGTATCAAACCCTAAATAACAACAATCCTGACTTATAGCCCTGTTGCTATAGTAGTTCTCGGGTTATAGCAAAAACAAACTTTATTTCCCTAATACCTGTGACCTAAATTTAATACCTGAAATACCTGAAAGCTAAAATGATTCGGCAGACCTTCGTTCCCCTAATAAATTTTTTCCGGACTAAAATTGATTAAAAACGGATCGATTTAAGCGATTTTTACGACGCCAATTACCCCAGATTTGAAGCGAGATTAGGGATTCACGGCCGGAAGTCGATGCAAATCGATGCAAAGTCCAAAAAGATAGCTGAAAAAACGGTTCAAAATTCCGTCGACCACAGTGTTTTCGTTATAGCTCGAGAACGACTGTAGCTACGGGGCTATAAGTATGGATTGATGTTATTTAGGGTCCGATACACCTTTGGTCCAATTTTGGGACCGATTGGATATAACACGGCCAAATGCCAGATGGTTCGTTTTTTTTTGGGACACCCTGTATGTTGCGCAAATATTCACTTTACGGTGAACATGGATAATTAAGATTTTTGTAGGTAAAAATGTTGATGGCCAATGTTGAATCAGGATGAATTAAAAAAAGCTGTAAATGATCCACTTCGTTAGATATGATGCTCCAAAGTCACTACTAGGACCGCTAATTTTAAACTCAAGTTTTTCCCAAGGGGCCTCCACCGCTTCAGATTTTCCACACACAATGGCTTTATGCCATATTTTGTCTTTTGGCGTCTTCCAGGTATTAAATTCTTTTTAGCCTGCGGCGCAAGAACCTGAGTCGGACCATTATCTGGCCTGCGGCGCCAGAGCCAGTCTTGTGCTGGAATCCCTGAGCCTGCGGCGCTAGCTACTGCTTTTTTTTCCCGGATTTAGCCTGCGGCGCGAGAGCGTGTGTCAAGGACCTTTTCTTTGGCCTGCGGCGCTAGAGCCTGGGTAAAGGACCCATCTTTGGCCTGCGGCGCGAGATCCTGGACCAAGAACCTTTTCTTGGGCCTGCGGCGCTAGAGCGAAGGCCAGGCCTAAATCGCGCACACGGAAAGCGTAGAAATATGTTTTATTGCTGAACTACAAAAAAGCAAAAAGCTACATTTCCCGCGGATCCGAACCCGCGACCCTCAACGCCGCAGACCCGGCCTTGATCCACTACACCACAGGGGGGAGGTTGGAACGGGCAGCGTTAAAGGCCCCTTCATATCCTGGGGGACGAACCGAGCTGTGCTAAAAGGAAGGGGCCCCAGCACCTCCGACAGGCATGCCTTCAGGCCACGTTACAAAATTCAACTTTTGAGCTGGAAGATGGTCGAATTTTGTGAAAATAATAAGATGCGCGTGATCCTCGCCATTGAATGCATGAGTGGTCCAAAATACAGGTCCAAAATCGCGATGTGTATTGAGATATGGCCTGGACACCGCCTCCCGTGACACGATTTATTAAGGACCTTCCAGAAAAATCCTTATAAAAACTATATTTTCAAAAATTTTGCAAAATCCCAAAAAAGGTATCTGAGGATGTACTTTTCCCATTTACCCTCCAAAAATGAGGCCCCAATTCCCTCTAGGCGCCGAGAAAACTTCCGGACAACGCGGCAAAAACCCATTTTGTTAAGGATTTTTCACTTTTTTGCTTATAAAACTTTAAAACGAAGGAATTTCGTAAAACCAAAAAATGCATCAGTGACAAATGTGTTTATCCACCTCCAAGCCAAAAATCAGCTCGAAATTCGGCCTGACGGCCGAGAAATCGGCTGTACAGAAAACAAACATACTTTTCTCGCTTATAGGATAGGATGTGGCAAAGGGTGTTCCTGCATCTAGATAATCCACCTGCATTCCGTATAAAACTTTTAAATGTAAGACCCACACACTGCAGCTACTGTTTCCTCAATAAAAGGACAATCATCGGGTTTCCTCCACATACTTGGTTACAAACCAAGCACAAACCAAGCTTTCGTGCTTTGGTTGCATAGCAGGTCCACAGATAGTGCAAATATGAGACCCACAAATGAGACAAGGAAGACCCATAGCTGAAAACGGGCAAAAAGAAGAGGGCAAAAAGATTATCCTTAAGAGCCATGGCAGCCCAGGACGGAAACACCGGAAATAGATGATCCCGCGGGTCCCCCTAATCTGACACACGACTCCGAGACGTCTAAATCTGAAAACCAACCACTCGCTATACAATTCCGCTACTTTCAATCTCTCAAAAGATCATATTGGTTAAAAAATCTACATCAAATAGGCGGAAAAATTATGAAGAACCATTTAAATACAAATCTTTATATCTTCTTAAATTTCCTTTTGTTTCAGGGTAGACCCCCTTATTCTACCGTCTATTCGACGATGTGATTCAGATTCAATGGGCAGCGATAACCCAATTTGATATAAGCTACAACTGTAAATTACACCCAAAAAAGATAACATAAAAAATCTAGAATGGAAGCTTACAGAAATACGCAAAATATGATTATTTACATCCAATGATCTGGCGTTTGCCCATGACGAAAATTGGAACAACATACGAAATGAAAAAAGTATGCCATTTGCATGTTCTTTAAATGTTTCTTTAGGTCGCTATGACTTAGAGCAACCGTTAGAAGACTGGGTCTTTTTCCGCATCGTATTTTGCCCGGAATTACCGAAGATCTGAACGGAAGTGTAATTAAAAGTCAATAATAACAGAGATTAACGATTTATTTTCTTGAGAAGGCTCAACGGAACGCGGCACTACCGTAGGATTGGTCTCCTATAAAAGGGTCTCTGTTTCCGCACACGCCATGCGAAGGCAAAGTTTAGCAACCCCATCTGCATCTATTCCCATCATCACCCGTGTCGATGTCAACACACAAGCTTTCCTAGACCTAAAACGCCTCCAAGAGCTATATCAAATTCAAATGAGGATTCAAGGTGAAATAAGTGAGATAATGAGCCGCATGCTGCTACGAGGTATGACTCTTTTATCAGATGTTTTATTTTTTTTGTTTTAGAAACGGCGCTGCAGCAGCTCTTTGCAAATGGGATCACCTTTGAGTGCGCCAACTTCCAGCACCAATATCAGACCGGCCCTAACGTGCCGATCGAAGCCGTCGGCGGTGCGGTTTTTTCATTAAAATCTATCTGATAATTTGCTCATTTTTTGGTGAATCGTATTGACGGGGAGGACCTTATGTGAATTTTTAAATCCCTGTATAATCATTGAATATAATTTAAGGCCTTAGCAATTTCCGATCACCAACTCATTATGAAATTTTATTGTATTACATCATAGATCCGGAACTTCAAATAATTTTCGTGTTTTTCATACATTCTATGTAAATGTATTTTGCTTCTTTGAAAAAGTCATTTGAAATCTTGAGAATATTTTTACTTTTTGTTTCCTTGCTAAAACCTTCTTCTTCGCTGCTAACACCGAAGCATTGCCTATTTTGTTATTCTTTTCAAAATGTGATTGTATATAATTTTAATATGTGTTTTTTGTACCGATAAAAGAAAATTTTGACTAGTTGTTCTCTTTTATCACTAACACAACAACAGAAGCTATGTGGTAACATATTTTTTTCAGATGTCTATATATTTAGGGATTACTTATCATCATCTCAAAAATCAATATCTCGAAAATCAAACATCCCGAAAGTTCAATATCGCGAAAGTCATTATCTCGAAAATTTTATACCGGTTTTACCATGCATTTTCTTGATTTCGGATGCAATTTAACACAGTGAAATTTCCCGAGATAATGACTTTGGTAGTTTTTAATTTATCGCCTTCGCTGTGGCGAAGCTAAGAATCAAAACAAAACCGGGAAGACGTGAAAAGACAAAATATGGTGTAAAAACATTGTGTGTGTGGAAAATGTGAAGCGGTGGGGGCCCTTGGGAAAAAAATTGGTTTTAAAATTAACGATACTAGTAGTAAAGTCGGCAATGTCGATTTAGGATACCCAACAACTTTTTTTTCTTATGCCAAGAGGCCATTTCATCGAATAGGTGTGGGCCGACTCAAAAAACTACTCAAAAATGCATGTTTGACGCCTAATTCTCAATGAAACTCCTAATGTTACTTGCGTTTTGGCCGCACTGAGCAAACTGGCATATCTATCCGAATTCGCTTCGTTACCATAAACTGATATTTAGATTCTACGCTACTCAATAAAGAGCATGTAGTTTTCGTCCTCGGAATGGATCGTCGGCAGGTCCAGGCAAAGTTGCGCGCACATTTGCAAGCATGCCTGAATTTGGAATTGGCGGAAGTGACTGTGCAAGGCCATGACTGACGACTAAAACGCACAGCTCCAGTTACACAGCCGTCATTCTGCATCCAGAAGTAGTTCGTATCATTGTAGAACCATGTCACGTTTGGGACTATCAGGGTTAAGCAACATTTTTAAACTTACGAGCAGCATTCGCAGCTTGGCAACTCTATTTCCGTAAGGCGACAAGCTGCTTTCCGTTGCCTGACGACATAACGAGCAATGAAACATTGTGTAACTGGGCTGACCTCTGTAAACTAGATGAGCGTTTTCCGAAAGCACTTGTAAGCTTGAAGCAAGGCGACTCGATGCTTTTCGTGGCCTGACAAGGTGCTTTTTTTCGTGGTTATTGGTGCTCGGATCATGACATGAGAGGTTTAATTAAAGCCATCATGTCTTGCTTTGCTGGAATATTTATTATACGATTTTTGTTTGTTGGATAGCCGGTTCCGATTATTATACGCAAACAGCACAGGTCTTTTTGCACTTGCTGATCTTCTGGTCTTCGGCGAATGCGGTGCTGTTACAGTATTGGCTGTTATTCTCGTACAGCGGGCAGCTAAATGTGAATTCGTTCGGTAGAAACAAGCAAAGTTGCTTTCCTGGATCCCGAAAACTTACTTTGGATCGGTATCCTGACAAGCCGTGTCAAATCCGCATGTCCTGCAGCACGATTCCTTTTTCTGAGCCGTCGTGTAGAGTTTGGAGCGGCAGTAGCCATTTTTCAGGAAAAGGGCACAGCTAAAAACCAAAGACTCAAGTGGAAAAAGGATATTCGTACTTGGCATCGTTGTCCACACAAGTCTCAGGCGTTGTCTAAAACCTTCTTATACGCCTCTCAATTCCACCCTACCACATCGTAGCATTTTTTTGACCATTAAGCTGAATGCAAGCCTGACCGTCCGGGCAGGCACTTCCATTTTGGACTACATTTCAGGGAACTTTTTCTAGGACTATTTAAAGTACCTGGTTGATAATCGATGCGCGCAGGTACCGGGTTTTTGAGCGTCACACAGGTAGCCATGGCGTAGCAAGCCGGTATATCACCTATTTCGACAGGTAGATAGTCTTCATATCCGCAGTAAGTTCCGGGGTTATAGGCACAACTTCCACCGATCGACGCTATAATAAGACCAGGGTTAATTATTCGGCTGAAGAAGCCTACGGCCAACGGCGAAAGGGCCGACGACGATAGGGCAATATGGGGTTGAAGACACCAGCTGAAAGCAGTCATTATGCAGCAATAAACTTGGCAAACCTCCCCCAAATTTTAGTAAAAAGACTTACGGCTAGCGTAGCCAGAAAAACAACAGACATTAGCATCTTGCTGGACGATCTCCATCGCGGCTTCACGCCTTATATAATGTTTTAGAATTGGGGCGGGCAGCTCTGCAAATTCGAGGTGTCGTTGGTACCAGGTGGCGAGGAGTGAATGTCAAATTCCTCGATGCGGAGGCGGCCATTGCAAATGACATCTAGGGAAGTAAATAAAGAAAGGTTACAGTTGAGAGAAATATCTTTGTCATTGATCACAGTTACAGCCGATCGTCTTTAGAAGTGGGCCGAATAGCTCTGTAAGTTTCCAAAAATGCTTGCGTATTCTTTCATTCCCGCGGTTCATGGTTGCTTCATCGATTCGAACTTTATTAGATAACAAGTTTCTTATCTTCATTTATCAACGAATCAGATTTTTAGCAGACGCCACACGTCTTCTTGCACTTGCTGATCTTCTGGTCTTCGGCGAATGCGGTGCTGTTACAATATTTGCTGTTGTTTTCGTAGAGAGGGCAGCTAAAAGTGGATAGGTTCACTTGGAATCGCATAGAGTGCCTCCACAGTTAGCAAAAACAACTTTGGATCCGCATCCTGACAAGCCGTGTCAAAGCCGCAAGTCTGGCAGCACGAGTTCTTCTTTTCCGCCGTCGTGTAGAGTTTGGAGCGGCAGTAGCCATTATGCAGGTACAAGAGGCAACTATACACATAAAGTGTTTGATGTTTTGATATTTTGTTTCGTTTGATGGGAAGTGTTTTGAAAATGCTAGACTTACTTGGGATCCTTGTCGGTGCAGGTCTCATATTCGGTCTAAAAATGAAAGATAAGGGTTCTGCCGCTATACACCTACCAGATCGTAGCATTGTCTTTCTCCATTCACCAAAATGCAAGTAGTAGAAGTAGAAGGGAGACAATGGACACCAAGAGACGCTAGATTTTGATAGCTGTTCGATGCTTTTCTCGAAAACCCACGTCCAAGGATACGCATGGGTTCCGGATTCTGAATTGTCACGCACTGATGGGTAGAGTAGCAAGATAGGGAACCAAGGCTCGCCAGCTCGTAGCCGCAAAAAAGCGATCCATCATTGGAGCAGAAACCATCAAGTGAAGCTTAAATAAAAAAAGATACTCATTAGTAAACTTTGCTTACGGCCGACACCATGGCTGTCAAGAACGGCCGGGCAATAGTATGCGAGCGTAGGGGTTAGCTAAAGTAAGTTAACCTTTTTTACTAAGGGATCTAAAGGTCATTGAAGCTGCAAACTCACAGAGATCGCAACGAACAATACGACAGCTTTTAGGGTCATCTCGATTCGATATGGAAGCTGTGGTCCATAGACGCCCATAAACGACCTTCAATTTTGGAAGCAGCTTTGTCAATAGGACTTTTCGCCCCCAACTTTCAGCGCGTGAATGTCAAATTCCTCGGCCAGCTCGCCTTGACCGTGGCGCGGCAGGTGTGCAAAAGGTTTTTTAAACTGCAACCGGATGAGGTTTCTCAAATATTTTAGATAAAAACGGATGCTAGAATTTGAGATAAATTTTTTTACATGGTTTATTGAGGCTTGATATCTTCTAGTGTTGTTTAAAATATTTAGTATATAAAATATATAGTCTAGTATATTTATCCTTCCACTATATCCATAGATGGTGAATGAACGTCTGTATATATGTCTGTATAGGCTGCGAAAGTTTTCTAAAAGATACGAACGCAACAACGTAATTCTATTAAGCCGTGCCAATTTTATTAAAACGATAGTGATCAAGCGACGAAAATCGATTCATATAATTAGCAGACACCACAGGTCTTCCGGCACGTGCTGACCTTCTGGGCTTCGGTGGCCGTGGTACCATTGCAGTATTTGCTGTTTTTCTCGTAGAGCGGGCAGCTAAATTTGAATATACGCAATGATGATGGCAATCACGTGTTTTGTGATCGAGTTGCCTTCAAAATGTCGAAATATTGTACTATCGTAATTTCACAATGCCGAAAATCCAGGGGTTACACACAACAAATCTCGCAATAAATCCCCCAAATACTATGGAACAAATTTTCGAAGTTTTGAAAATGCTGTATATAGCATTGTGATACCCTCAATTTCCGCATTGATGAGTTTTTAAATTGTAAAATGTCGGCATTCTGAACCTTCGAGGCATTTTGAGAGCAAATCGCTTTGCGGTTATACCAACTTCGGATCCGCATCCTGGCAGGCAGCATCAAATTTGCAGGTCTTGCAGCAGGAATCCTTTTTCTGAGCCGCCGTGTAGAGCTTGGAGCGGCAGAAGCCATTCTTGAGGTATAGGTCGCAACTAGGTACGGGATAAATTGCCTAGGAAATAATGGCTCACTTGGTAGTCTTATCCACGCACGTCGACGTGGGCATCTACAAATCGGAGGGATATTTGAGAAAGTTAATGACTGTCCCTACCACGCTGTAGCAAATTTCTCCAATGATGCATGCATAGCCAGTGGGGCATTCCCCGCCGACAGACGCTAAAATATGCTTTCTGAACTTCAAAAAACTTTCGAAAATTTGAATACATGAACCACAAATTTTCAAAAACTCACGGCCAGACTGATCCGCGGGGGAAGGGTTCAGAATCTTCAGGTCACATTTCTTCAAATCCATGTAGCAAGCAATGTAGCCTTGAGGCGTCAAGGCTTCAAACGAGCCTGTGGGGCACAAGCCGCCGACCGGGACTTAAAATGGGTAATGGAAAATCCAAACGTAAGTATTTACTTACGACCAATGTTCACGCCGCCGCTGATCACCGTAACCAGTTCTGCTGAGGCCAGCTGAAAATTTTAGCTTTCGTGCGCTAATTTTCAAATTGAAATTCGATGCCGAGCTGAGACCATCCCCTTGTTAACTTAAGCTATAGTTTTTCTTTTTTTTTTTCAAGAAACTTTACTTAAACGGTGCTTAACTACCTAAGTCTTGGCTATGGACGGATTAACTTACCGAGGCGCAAGCTAGCAAAATTACGGTAGGAAATATCATCTTATTAGATGGCCTTCCATCTCAGTAGGATTCTTTATATAGGGGTTTTAAGCCGCTAGGCCAGCTTTTTAAATAACTTTTTTACCCCAGCTGCGAGCTAAAGCCGGGTAAACGGCACATTCCTGCTGCCTTGGTGGCTGACCCCCCGTGCTCAGGGTCCGTTTTCCCGCCCACCCGTACTTGATAGGAATTTGAGCCAGATCTGCATCAAAAACCCTAGGCACAGCTTTGTACATAAGGGCTTTGAAAGTAGAAAATCCTGGGTTAAATGTCACATTACCGGGGTCGAACCATTTTGCCAGGGCCTCGGTAGTGGATCAGAGAACAGGGAAACGCTACATCAACCGGAACTCTTATCAGAGCGAAATCTTACGCCGCCAGAGTGAGTTGGTTGTCGATGAGGAGTCCCGATGTCCTAAAAGCTTGAAGAACGGACCAAATGTCGATCGTTTACAAAACTACGTGACTTCGATTTTTATATTGTCAGTGTTGACGTCATCAGATGTTGGTTTAATGACAGTCTGATAAATTAATGGTGTTTCAATTTACCTTGCAACTTTCATAATCAATTTTCGCTATAACGACCAGCCTCCGGCCCTGCCCAAACCCAAAAGCGACAGCTTTATAGATACGAATTTTCGCTCCGCTAGTGCGCTTAATCTGAATATAACATTCCACGCCCTACCGTATCGCCTGACCCGATCAGCACTGCGCTTGGATTCAGAAATCCGCGCTTGCCGAGTTTTGGAACAATTAACGGTAAACCTTTGTAAGGGTCTCTTTTTCCGGTTTTTAGTGAAACAAATTGTTGTTACGCGTTTTTGATGGGTTTTTGGTCACTTAAATTTATAGAAGTAACAAGTTCTCGGTTATGATATTTATTGCAACCTTCAAATTGAGACTCGGCTTTGAAAAGTTATTGGCAGACGCCACAGGTCTTCTTGCACGTGTTGATCTTCTGAATTTCCGTGACCGAAGTTCCAGCGCAGTAGTTTTGAGTGCGATCGTACGTCGGGCAACTAAAAATTACGATGGAACGCCGATAATTAGCACAATTTTTTTCAGTTGCCAAAAACTTACTTGGGGTCAGCATCCCGGCACACCGTGTCGAATCCGCACGACTTGCAGCAGGAGGTCTTCTTGTCGGCTGTCTTGTAGAACGCGTTACGGCAGAATCCATTCTTGACCCAAGTGGCGCAACTAAAAATCTTAACTTAAGAGATCTAGAAGAAATGGCTTACTTTGTGCTTGCATCCACGCAGTTGACGGGCGTCTAAAAATCGGAGAAAATTATTGATATAACGGTTGAGCCTACGGCTGCGTAGCACACATTCCCGGCCCCGCATACGTAATTGGCTGGGCAAATGCCGTTGACGCAAGCTAAACTTAGCGTAAAAAAGAATTCAAAAAATCTAATACAGTATAAAAAATGTAATACTTACTGCTCCCCTCGAGCTGAGCCATCACCGTCATTGAAAACAGCTGAAAAAATTGCCTATAAGTTGCGAACGCTTAAGAAATGTAGCGCTGTTTCAATGCATGCTAACATACCGAGAGGGTAGCCAGCAATACTACGGCGGCGAAGCGCATCCTATTCAATGATTTTCATCTAGAACCCACTGGCTTTATAAATTTTTTATAGCGTTCCACTCGACAGCTCTTCAAACAGAATTTTCGCACCAAACTTCGAAGCTGTTAAAGGTGGAATTCCGCAACAAATCGTTGCCACGACGATCAAAGCGGACCAAAAATCTGCTTTTTTCGTATGTGCCACCGCTCACGTACTTGCCATATTATCGTGAATTTCCTGAGAACTAGATAAGAAGGGGTGTGGTCCGAGGTGGCAACGATAGTCATTCCGGAAACCAGGGATCGACATTGTCAATCGTCCATGTCAACCAGCGATGGTATCGTGCCTGCTTGTTTTTCTTGTCAAAATCGGCATTGCAATGATAACTAATGCGACGATGCATGCTCCGTTTGGCTGCGGATTTTACTAGTCGAAAGCAAAATTCATATTCAATGCGAATTGCGTATCTATCTAGCTATCGACGACTTCCGTATGTTTCTCGTTCCCTTTACATGGCATCAAGATGCACAGCAAGAGATTGTTTGCAAATATTTATTCCAGGTTTTTAAAGGCCAAATCACTCGATGCATATTATTAGCAGACGCCACAGGTCTTCCTGCAAAAGTTGACTTTTTGAAGTTCGGTGGACGTGGTGCTGTTGCAGTACTTGCTGTTCTTCTCGTACAGCGGGCAGCTAAATGGCGTTAATTCGAAAAAATTATCACGACAAATTCTTTTATAAGCGGCGAAAGCCAACTTGGGGTCCGCATCCTGACAAGCAGTGTTGAATGCGCATGTCGCGCAGCACGATGCCTTCTTCTCAGCCGCGGTATAGAGCTTGGAACGGCAGTAGCCGTTCTTGAGGTACAGTGGGCAGCTACAAACGAATCCGATTACTCTATAAAATATCCGCACTTACTTTGGATCTTTGTCTATGCAGCTGTTGCCACCGGACTATAAATGCGCCTTAGAAAAATCTTGATAAAGTTCATACCAGATCGTAGCAATTGTTCATGCCGTTCAAGACGACGCAAGTATAGGGGGTCGGACACTGGTTGCCGACGCACGCTAAAGCTTAAACTAGGTACTAACTAAACGTAATATGGTGCCGTTGATGAGACCGTAATTAATGTAATTCCGTCAAATTATCGTAAGTAAACGTGTTGACGAAAACGACCAGAAACCCACGTCCAATAGAGCGGTCCGAGTAGCAGACGTTCCCGTCACGTGGATGACTGATGCACACGAAGCCAATTGGGCACATCCCATCAACCGCCGCTGAAGGGTCACGATATCAATTAATTCTAAGTTAACATACGGCCGCTCACTTGAGTGAAGTCGGCATTGGGCACCGACGGGCAAGTCGTCGCCGATGCGAGCTGCAAAAAAATTTAACTGCATTTAAAAAACACCGGTACCAAGCGTATTTGTAAAAACCTACGCTGATGGTAGCTAGGAGGATCACGGCAGAAAGACGCATCCTGTATAATAAAGACGATTTAACTAACTTCAAATCGACTTTTATATGGAGAGGAGGCGGAGAAATTCGGTGGGCAGCTCTATAAACAAGGATTTTCACCACTGACGGTTCTAATGAAAGGTTGAATTCCTCAATCGGCGCCTAACACTGACCCGGTGCCACCCAGGTGTGCAAAGGTTGAGGCGCAAGTAGTAGCTACCCCTTTAAAATTTTTGGGTCACCATTATGTATCGATTGCACCCCATTTCTCATAAATCCATTTCTCATAAACCCATTTCTCATAAACCCATTTCTCATAAATTCCATTTCTCCTAAACCCATTTCTCATAAACCCATTTCTCATAAATTCCATTTCTCATAAACCCATTTCTCATAAACCCATTTCTCATAAATTCCATTTCTCATAAATTCCATTTCTCATAAACCCATTTCTCATAAACCCATTTCTCATAAATTCCATTTCTCATAAACCCATTTCTCATAAACCCATTTCTCATAAATTCCATTTCTCATAAATTCCATTTCTCATAAACCCATTTCTCATAAACCCATTTCTCATAAATTCCATTTCTCATAAACCCATTTCTCATAAATTCCATTTCTCATAAATTCCATTTCTCATAAACCCATTTCTCATAAACCCATTTCTCATAAATTCCATTTCTCATAAACCCATTTCTCATAAACCCATTTCTCATAAATTCCATTTCTCATAAACCCATTTCTCATAAATTCCATTTCTCATAAATTCCATTTCTCATAAACCCATTTCTCATAAACCCATTTCTCATAAATTCCATTTCTCATAAATCCATTTCTCATAAATTCTCCTAGCATTGTTTTTTTTGCAAAATTTTACTTCGTTCACCGTTAAAATCGGACGTTCACCAAAATGACCACGATAGTATGTCCTTATATTGAAGTCAAGCGAAATTGCCAAATTTGCCGCTACCGTTCTGGTACTCAGCAAATTCCGGTGGAATCATCAATCCAATAAGCGACGTGGGGATCGGCAACTCTCCGAACATCGCCTTCCGCTTCCTCAGCCCGACCTTGTGTAGACTCGAAATCGTGGGACGATCGAGTTCCTCCGGGAAATGTGACAGCATAAATTATGTGAAAGTTTTGAAAATTATGTCACATTTATGTGAAAGGGAATTTATGAGAAATAGAATTTATGAGAAATGGAATTTATGAGAAATGGGTTTAGGAGAAATGGAATTTATGAGAAATGGGTTTAGGAGAAATGGAATTTATGAGAAATGGAATTTATGAGAAACGGGTTTAGGAGAAATGGATTTATGAGAAATGGGTTTATGAGAAATGGATTTAGGAGAAATGGGTTTCCGCCTTATGTATCAAGCTGAAGTTAGTTACAAGCCGGTTAGCAGGCCCTAGCTGAACACTCCTAATTTGAAAAGATACGGTACTCAAAAAGGCTTTCAGACCAGAAGCTTTTTCAACCGAAACCCATGAAAAATAGCTGATAGGCGCTGATAAAGCTCCAGGTTGGACTATTTAGTCAATCATCGCCTTTCTATTTTTTTGGCTAGCTGAAGGTCGGTGTTTTTAATCTCATTTTTAATATTGTCGCATGTCATGTTTTCCGGGATTCCAATGCGACTCGTTAATGCACAAATTTATTAAACAGTTCTTGGAAAATGTGTCATACTCGGCAAGTCCGCATCAGCAGATACCGCACGTCTTCCGGCAGAAGTCAACCTTCTGGGCTTCGGTGGTTGCGTTGCCATTGCAGTAGCCGTTAGTTGAGGCGCATCTAAATTCAATTTTCTCAAAAAATAGAAATCCTGTGCTATAAGGGCTCCCAAATACAAACTTCCAATCGGCATCCTGGCATACGTTTTTGAATCCGCAAGTAAAGCAGCAGGAATCGATTTTCTGATCAACAGTGTAGAGCTTGGAGCGGCAGTAGCCATTCTTCAGGTACAGGGCGCAACTATAAACGTACGTCATATACGTTGTGAAACTATAGACTTACTTTGGGTCCTTGTCGACGCAGTTGTCGGGCGTGGACTAAAAAATGAAGATAAATATCAATATTTATCAATATTGCTCACAAAATCGTAGCATTCATTTAAGCCATCCATCACGAAGCACATGTAGGGGTCGGGGCACATGTCGGCGATGCAAGCTGAAATTGCGCTACTTCAGAAACTAAAACTAGCCACAACGAAACCTAATTTTAGGTATAAGCTGAAACCTAAGCCTTAGACTAAACTTAAGCTTAAACCTAAGCATAGACCTGACCTAACAAGGAGTGTCCTTTTGGTGTCATCGGCAAAACGATTCGAGACCCAGCTCATTCGATAGAGAATTGAATTCTGAACAAGACTGTGTTGTTCCTTTTTGCGGAATGGCTGTCGCTGATTTTATAGAATTAAAAAACCCAGCGCGAAACCTTAACAACTCGCTCCCCAGGCGCCAATGTATGGGCGTCGCCGGCAATTTTTTGATTTTATAAAACCAGGGACAGCCATTCCGCAAAAATGAACAACACAGTCTTGTTCAGAATTTAATTCTCTATTGAATGAGCTGGGTCTCAAATCGTTTTGCCGATGACACCAAAAGGACACTCCTTGTAAGAAAAAACTACTGGAAAACTTAGCTCTATATGAAGCCCTCAGCATATGTTCAAAATTTTCATAGCCGAACCGGAAGTTCAATTCTGTAGCATAAACCCCTTCAAAACCCACGTCCAATCATGCGAGTGATATCCGGATTCTTGAGGTAAATGCTCTCCCTCGTCTCATAGCAGCGTCGTGCACCCGTTGGTGTCGTGCCACAAAACATGCCACTCGGGCATTTACCGGTGGTCGTGGCTGAATTCGGTATAAAAGGTGAAATTTTTGACCTACCGTTGCCCGTTTCTATGGCGCCGTAGACCTCCGGGCAGTAGGGCGTCGCGGAAACTAGCTAAAACGAGGATTGTCATGCCCTACGCAACCTACAGCTACGGTAGCAAGGAATATCAGGGCAGACAGCGGCATCGTGGTGTAATCAGTGTTGGTTAGGCGAAATAACTCTTTATATAGGCTCCGATGCCAGGAAGACAGCTTGATAAATACCAGTTTCGCACCCCGATTCGTCAGAACAAAATGCCGAATTCCTCAAACGCCCACTCGCGCTGACCCCGTGATGGCCAGGTGTGCAAAGGATTGAAGTTAGGGAGCATGGATTTCGGGGACTTCGCTTCGACAAGATCGGAATTTTGCAACGTGGCAAGGAAAATGCTTTATGGAGCCCTGGGCTTCTGTTATTTACGAGTTTTGAACTTTATAACAAAAACCAAATATCGCTTTTTTTTTCTTGCTTTGGTTTTCTTGCTCTCTCTCTCTTTTACGCGCTCATTCTCTCTCTCACTCTCTCTCTCTCTCTCTCTCTCTCTCGCTCTCTCTCTCCCTCTCTCTCTCGCGCGCTCTATCTCTCTGTCTGTCTCCACTCTCTCTCTTTCTCTCTCTCACTTTATTTTTTCCCGTCCGCTCTCCACACTCACTCTTTCTTTCTCTGACTCTTCCACTATCGCTCTCTCTGTCTCAATCTCTCACCCTCTCTCTCTCACACTGAAAGCTCACTTTCATTGCCAAACTCTGTTCTCGTTTTATTCATATGTACAGGCGCAATTCACGCTACCAGAAAGGACAATGAACAAAGGGACACGAAAGAAATCAAAAGAGTAGGCGAGGGAGGGCACGAACCCGTTGGGAAGAAGCCGCGGGAGGGTATTTGACTGCATACAGATCAGGACACCGGATATTTCACAGGCATGGAAATGCGGATGATCAAAGAGTACATACTTGATGCTAGGGAAAGGCATTGTTAAGAGTGAAGCTAGGAAATGGAAAACCGATTTTGAATTGGGCTCTAAAGGAATTAAATATTTTTAATGGTACCGTGAAGGTCAGTTTTCAGAAATCGCGGACTTGAGGAACTCAAAAATCAAGTATGATCCTGACGGCACCGTACCATTCACAAAATCATCACGATGAAATGTCAACCGAAACTTTGTCCGGATCGAACGATTTGGTGCGCTCAAAAGAGTTGGTCCTCGGGTATTGGCTGTCGTTTAGGGTATCGTATTCCGAATTGTGCCTTCGTTGCCGATTCAGCCGACACGACATCTCGATGGCAATGTCGCGTCGCTAAAAGTTGGTTTTTCGTCGAGAGATCTGAAGGTTAAAGGGATTGTGAAGTCATCTCTCCCTCTCTCTCTCTCTCTCTTTCCTTCTATCTCTCTCTCTTTCTCTTTTAGCTCTCTCTTTATCTCTCGTTCTTGTTCTCTCTCGCTCGCTCTCGCTCTCCCGACTTTACAATCCCTTTAAGGTATACAAGGGTGGGAGAAATTCTTCAAAAAAGCTAAAATCGACCTGAAACCCAAGTCCTGGCGCGCTAACTTACAACATGAGGGCAAGGGCAAAAAAATTTAAAGCAAAATGAATGTTAATTGCAACGACGGCGGATGTTCGGGAGGGGACATGCAAACTTTCAAAAAATCTTTAACATCTTTAAAACTGACACATATCCGGGTGAATTAGTAATTTTCCCGTCTTACTGTGTGTTGTCTTAGAAGGATTGGTGGCTATAATAAAAGAAATTGATGAGTTTTTGAAAGGTATAAACTGTTCACGTTAGTTTATACTTACCTTATCAATATCACGCCGGCAGAAAAAGGTGTCTCGAATCGATTCTCGGAAACGAGAAGATAGAAAAGCGTAGAGAAATGGGTTTATCGCCGAGTTGAGGAACATCAGCAGAAAGGTGGCGGGTTGCAGGAGATTTGTCCAGCTTGTCACCGATCGGGGTACTGTAAAACGTGGCGTAATTGCAATTATACCAGCGCGCAAGCCATTGAATTTTACAGCCCACGGTATTTAGAAAATTGTAGTTTGCGGTAGCTTTTTGATGTTGAAATCAAATTAATCGTCGCAAAGGATATTTATGAATAATTTTTAACCACGATTTTAGCTACTTTAGCCTACAACAAACCTGTATTGTCGCGCCACGTCGTCCAAATCAAATATGAATATCGTGGAGGTGAGAGTAATGCAAAGGACAACACGATCCCAAACGCAAGTCGTCCGACCTTTTTTCTCTTCTCGACTGTCACAGTACTTCCGCTTCGCCAATCTGAAAAACGCCACGCCTATGGAAGGCACGATTAGGAAGGCGAAAAGTAAGCTAGCAAAAATGACCCAAAAACTTCAAAAAAATATTTGGACAATACCTCTAGCTCTGAACTCTTCGGTAGCTATTCCTACTGAAATAATCAGATTGCGCAATTTAATAAAAATATGTGCGTAACTCGGAATAAGATAGGGCAGCTTACCTCCAGGTTTCTCATCATTTGGAATGAGCTTGTTGCTCTGAGGGCAGGTATCGGCTTTTCCGATAACAACGAAAATGGTTAGGTAGATGATGCCGAGGATGAGGAGTGGGATGCAGTACCTGAAAATGGTATATGTTATTCATATCTTTGGGTAATTTAGACATTTGATATCAGATTTTCGGAGAGATTCAAACCATCGAAATTACTTTAAATGTTGAGAACTGTCCAAAACCGTTCGAAAATTGTTTCTTTATGCTTGAAAAATTGCTCTCAGAATTTCTAATTTTGTGTTGGCTCAGGGCTAAATATTTATATTTTATTTGTATATCGTTAACTTACCAAAATATGCAATTAATTGTCGTAACGCTCTTCACAATCTTATACCCGTAGAATTCGGCATGCGTGTCCCGAATGCACACCTAAATTTCGGCAATCGTTATCTTCATGCGGGTTTGTGTTTATGTTTGTTTTTGCACGGCCCGAGATCACAAAACAAAAAAACCATTGAAGCCCAAATCCAGAGAGGATTTCCCGACTTTTTCGCCTTTAATTAAATCTCTTTCCTTCCTCCTTGACCCTTAGAATCGCGATGCTAAATTGCAATCCCGATTTCCCGATTTTTTGCAAGTCTGGCGAACACCCAAAAAGTTCAATTTTGTGACCCCGGCGGTAGGTGGGAAAGGATCGTCGGCCATGATTTCAAGATCGGCATCAAATTTCAGCGTTGAGCTGTGGAAATTAAACTTTTTCGCGAACCCCTAGAGACGAATAGTCTAGTTGGGCAGAGCACAAAAAACGAGCCAGGATAAGCTTTTGCGGAAATTTGAGTAGCCTCGGAAGTTTGGCTTTTCCAGATCGTTTCGCTTGCAATTTTGGAAGGGGAAAGAGTTGGAATTTGAAGGCTTACTGATAATTTTTCGTCGCCTTCATCGGGGAATTCCATGTACATAACGGCGAAAAAGTAGGGGAGGTTCATCAGGGCGGCTGAGATCTGAAAAAAACCAAGATGATTATAAATGGAATGAAGTCAAAGCCTAAACCGAGGCTTATATTTACGTTTAAATCTAAGTATACACTTAATCCTAAGCCCAAGCCCGAGCCTAAGCCCAAACCTAGGCTGAAGCCCAAGCTTAAGTCTAACCTTAAAAAACTGTTTAATCGATTTTCAAATTTTTTTGGTTTTCCTCATTCTTATGTAGAATTCGGCTTTTTTATAACAATTCTACTCCACCTCTCTTTTTTGCCGCAACTTTCAAAAGCCACCTCCACCCCCAGCTTGTAATCCTAGCCGTGAGAATTTTTTCTCTCCACAAATAATCCGCCACCAACCCAGACCACGTGCGTTCCAGGTTACGCAAATATTTTTGCGAACCACCACCCGCGTGTCTCATTTTTGATTATGTATCTCTGCAGAAAATTGCGGGACTCTTCTAATAATATAGGCGGGCGCTCCGAAATGCCTACCCAGACGGCCGCCGAGCTGGCAATTAGCACTTTTCTCGGGAATGCACGGCGGACTCGGAGGGGGCGGAGTACGGCTACGAAGCGCTCCACCGAGACGAGCACCTGAAAAACGAGTCGTGAAAAGTGGGTGAGGCTCAGCAAAGCTTAAGCCTAAGTCAAAAACAAAGCCGAAAAGTTAGCCTAAAGACCGAAGCTCAAACTTACCAAAATCCCCGCCGATACATTCGGCAACAAGTGTAATAAGTAGATATAAACTTGACACATCCGATAGCCGAAAGGCCATCTAAACTTCGATTAAAATTCATTAAAAATCAGCGATACCTTTGTCGCAACATCACGATATTGATCCCGTTCTGCAGCACACAGAAACAGCCGACAAAGAAATCGGCGACTAAAATAATTCGTCACAGCTTAAATCGATTTAAATACACCTGTTAAATTCACTAAAAAGAATTTCGGAAGTGATCGTAATCGTCTTTGCGAGGCGAAGACGCACAGAATTACAACGTTGCCTTAAATTCGGTTGTATGTGAATCAAGGTAGATGACCTACCAAATATTGTCGTTAAAAATACGAATAAATATGCAAGCGAAAATAATAAATAGATAAAAGGGTGATCCAGGGCCGAAGTTATCGTTACTGTATCACCATCGTCTGTTGGAGGGGCCGGGGAGGCTTCCATCTGAAACAAAATCGTCACAGCTTAAATTCAGCAATGAGAGGACAAATTTAATACATGAGGTACAATACAAAAAGAGGAGCTTAAATCTGGAAAAATATAAACGGCACTCGTATCGCTCAAATAAACAAGAGACGCTCGACTAATCATGGGACTTGATGTGGGTAGCAATTATACTAGCTGTAATGTGCCATTTTCACAAATTACAGGATGCGATGTGGGTCGAAAAACGCGTCAGCATTACGAACCGGAGTATCTACAGAATGAACTTTCAAAAATCAGATGGATTCTTGGGAGCTGAGGCTCCTTGAAGATCAGAAGCTGCAGACTGATGATGGGAAATCTTGAGATTCCCAGGAGGCGTGACTTTCTGGCTTGCCAGGCCCTTTAGGCAGGAAGAGGGCGATTTTTATGCAAAGTAATTGAAAAGGAAAGAGAGAGAGAGAGAGTGAGAGAGAGAGAGCAGCGAGGGATAGAAAAGCGGCATCGAAAATTTTAGAAAATTCAATCCCCTAAAAATCATCATCCTGGCCCCTGTCCAAGTACTCAAAAAACAATCGAGAGGTACATGGGGTCGGCTTCACCCAACGGGACTCTGTGTTGTGGCCAGCCCGTGGGTTTCGAGGGGGACACATGTGAAAAGATGTCAAACAAACCGTAGGATGGGTCGGTCTGTGGAGGGTAGGGAGGAAGGAAGGAGGTGTCGATTGGAGTGAGGGGTTGGTGGTTGAAGCTTCTGCTTTCGCGGCGGGGATAAAAAGTGAACGCTGGGAAAATACTGTCCTCGGGTAGTCGTACCTTATGACGAATATTTTACGTGACCAAAACGCCTTAAGATCGGCTAGAGCTGCGGTACAGTCCTACGCCTATGCTCAGCATACGCTTAGCCACAATCATATGCTTGGGCTTCTTACACATAGGTTCTTTTTTGCAAAGGGTTAGCTTTAATTATGCGCTCCTGCATTCTCTCTCTGTCTCTCTCTTTCCCTCTCTCTCTCTCTCTCTCTCGCTCTCTTTCTGTCTCTCTCTCTCTTTCTCCCGGCTCTGTCGCTATGATAAAGAAAATTCTCTTCACTAAAAGATGCCTAATCCCGCCAAACACGCCTCACAACAAGCTCCGCAACACAAACTACTAGAATATTCTAGCACAAGGCGTGAAGCACCCTAATGAGCTGATTTGTTTAGTGCGGGTTTCTGGATTTGTTAGCAGTGGCCGCATGGTCAGCGCAGACCGCATGGTATTGTAGCCAGTAAAAATAATATATTGACCCCAGCTCTAGGTACACGTGGATAAACACTCCAAGATTGCTCCAAGAAGCTGGCTGCTTCTTTGAGTGCCAATGGGTCTTTGAAACAAAAAATTACAGGTTTCGGGTTCAGAAAAAAGCTGACAGATACTTTTTGCTCTTGCTTGTCGAGGTAAGCGCTATAACAATATCTTATTGTTAGAGGCCTCAAAACGTTAAGACCTTGACATTTTAACGGTTTTCTCTAAAATATAGGTTTAAATGTTATTAAAGAAGTTGGTGAAGCTTTCCAATTAGCATTTTTTTTCTGTAGGTTTTCAAAAGCTTTTTTGAAATAATGACGTAAATAAAAAACTACAAACTTGAATTCAACGCCAAAATAACCGCTTTTCCCCACTTCGTCAACCTGACCGGCGCGTTATGAGAGTCTGGGCAAACAGAACTTTCCGATTTCCTTCCGGCCCGGCTCACGATGATCTGGTAGCGCAAAACCAAAAGTCTACGCCCTAGTGTGGTTGCTCTTTAGTGGCATCACGTGGGGCTAATGTTTGGTCGTGTTTATTTACTGTCGTTTAGCCGCGACGGAACGGCCGGGCGCTAGTGTTGCCACCTACACATTTCGGGAAACAGTACGCCCTACAACTATGCACAAGGGGCGAGAAGTGGGGGTGGTGAATCAGGTGTTGACCTACCGGGAGGAAAACGGGGGAAATGGTTCGAAAAATTGGGGGTGGGGGAAGATCGGATTACCGGATCGCGGTCGGATCTGGTCAAGCATCAGGGGGAGAGCGTTCGGAAAAGGTTGGGAATATAAAACTTTAGATAGGACACCAAATACAATTTCTGACCGAGGCTTGAACTACATTAATTATAGCGGTCGATATCGACACCAAATCCATCGCTGATTTTAACTTTCAAAGTTAGAATGTCGGAATTCATTTTGTCGAAAAGTGGATACGCTAAATTTCCATTTACACGTGTTTGAGATGCATAAAATTCGACAAATCGAAAGTCGGATAAATGAATTTCGACAAGATGGAATTTCGCCACTATAACTGCACTATTTTTTGAAGCTGAAATATCGCAGTCCTAAAATGCAAAAGGAACCGATCGCAAAATAGAACTCTAGATTGGTAGTGCCAACACGAGTCCTATGCCAGGCCTAGCCCGCGTCTAAACCACTCTAAATGGTCAGAATTTCACGAGGAATGGCCCGGGGAGAATCTGGTAGCCATCGACGAAATTTGAGCACCACTTCCCCACCACGGCCCGGCCGCCGACGACGACGACGCCGTGTGTGGGTTGAGCGGGCGAGGGAGGGAGCTGGGATTTAGTTTTGTGCCGGAAATTGGAAGCGTTTGGGTATTTTTGGGGAGGTTAGTAAATATTGAGGTGGAAATTGGGGGGTAAGAATTATATTTATAGCACGAGCTGCTCGTGACCGAAGGAAGGAAATGAGATTCTGGAACAGCATAAATGCACAGGAATCGTTAAATAACTAACTTGTGTATTTAAAGGTCAGGTTATAGGATGGCTGCCTTAGATCAAAATTGCTTCATTTTTTAGGTAACAAAGTGGTAATACAGGAAAATTACTTGCCTCAACTCTTCAAGTACTGGAAACTGACTTTCTAGTTAAACTGTTTAACTTTTCAGGTATATTTTATTGAATTAATTAATTCAAAAAAGCTTTTTGGATAAAAACATTTGTTCCAATGAATTTGGCCTCTCGTTGGCCCATAGGTCAACCGCGATACCGAAAAAATGCGTATTTTCCCGCTGAATCGACCGAACCTCGTGGTCAACCCGCTAGGTCAGAGGCAAAGAAATATAATTCGGGCCACCACGACGAAATGCAAACAGAACGGAGATGGCCGCGTTTGGGTCCCCCTCCTTCAGCTACTGCCACCACAAATTCTCCTCTGGCCCCGCCAAAACGAGTGGCCCGTAGACCTGGGGCTGGCCGGCCGGAATCTAGGGCCCAGCCACAAAAAAATTGCCGCCAATTCACTTGCACCCGTATGCGGCAAGGGGGAAGAGGTCTTTAGGGAGGAAAGGGAGGCGTTCCTGCAAAATGGTGGAGTGGTGCAGAGGATTGAAATGTATTTTTTTTGATGAAACTAGAGTGTAAGAAAGTAGATATTTGGTTTGGATGTTTGACCTCCGCAGAAAGGGAAAAAAGCTAAACTTAAGTAATTTTTGTATGCTAATTATCTGCAGGGGAGGCCCAGCACATCGCTTCTCAAATAAAATCAAAACCGTCATATTATTAAGACTTAGAAAAGCTTTGAATACATACAGAAAGAAATAGAACCTATCCTGAAGGCCGAAATCCCACGTAGCCTCGAACGCCCCATACCACTAATTTCCCTTCGAACATCCCCTACCAAGCCAAACCCCAATTTCCGCAGTAACTAGCGACTAAAAAAAATTGAGTAATGACAGCCTGTAAAATCCGATAGTTCAAACATCCCCCGCAAAATAACGTGCGAGGTATACACAGAATTTTGAGAACCCACCGACCAAATTGCGGCCTTGGTTAGTGCAAACTTCAAGTTCGAGTGGTTGTTCGCCTTTGTGAGGTCACCTGAGAAGTGTCAGCTGAGCCGAGCAAAAAAAATGCAACTGCAGAACCGGATTTACATTACCTTAGTGTTAACGTTAAGCGCCTTAAGAAAGGGAAAAGGTATTAATTGCATTTTTAGGCTTCGAATTAGACTTAGGCAAAAGTCAGCTTAGGGATTAGCTTAGGCTTAGCCAGCGTCCTAACGAGTTTGTGCGAATTCGTAGCCGTCACCGAACGAATTTTTCCTTCGTCCCAAACAGTCATCATTCTTCCACATCTTCGGTCATCAACCCTAAGCCTCCAAAATTCCCCCAATTCCGTCCGGGGCCGTCAATTGGTGCAATTTTTAGGGCCCGGCGGGGCCGCGAGTGCAAAATGGCCCGTCGGCAGTCGAAAATTACATAGCAACGCCCATAAGGACCTTGGGACGCCTTGAAGGGGGCATTTGGACCCTAAATTGTGACACGGGGGAACGGTGGCGGATGGACGGGTTAGGGGACTGGAAAAGAGTGGAGGATGGGCGGAAATCAGATGCAGAAGCAATTTCCTGGTGAAGCAAAGTTTGCGGAAAAGTGGAGGAATCATATTTGGGTCCAGGGATTCTGAGGTCTGCCTGCATAAATCAGTATTTTCGGGGTGCCGGGAAGTCCGAGGAGTTCAGGGGAGGAACCGCCCGGGTTTGAAGTGTTTTTGGGAAAGTTCTGTGTGAAAGATGAGTGAAATAAAGCTTTGGAAATAGTTATCCCTGAGGGAACTCGAAGCAGGACCGAAAAAAAAGCCAGACTTGTATTTGAGCGATTTTCTTAATGATTTTCCAAGCCCGCAGGCTATACGGCTGATTCTGCGCTGCATTTTGCCACGTAAATAATATCTGCAAGTAGTCGATTTTTGGGAAATTGGGATGGGACGCTAAATGCCTTAGAAAATCCGTATCTTAAACGTCGTACGATTTATATGACCTTCGGAAATTCTAGAACTTTATTGAAAATTCTTCGATGCGGTTTGCACCCTCAAAAACGCAATAGCAAACGCACTGGACCATTGCTAAGGGGCCACCTCCAAGAATGGTCGATGGCAGACACCGCGTGGGTTTTGAACCTCGGGCTGAAAAAAAAACGTCTAGAATGGGGGAAGCTGGCCGCCCATATGATCTTGCAACGAGACAGCTTCGATTTGAAGCACTTCAAACCAAAGATTTAGGTGGGAAACGCTTTTAATAGTAGGAGGCTAGCAGGAATTTTAAGGTCTGAGGCTATTTTTACTAAAACCTAAGCTTGCGACAATTCATTGAAACAAGCTTAAGCCAAAGCCTAAGCCTAGGCCTATTTGTTATCTAACAAGGAGACGTTTTTAGGTGGGCACGGAGTTTCGGAACGGGACCTAGCCTAACTTGTTTAGAATTTTTTGCTGATTAAAACGTACTTTGTAGAATTTGCGAAACGACCGGAAAACCAAAGTTATGAGGGTTTAAAGTGTGAAAAAGGCCCAAAATGGCCTACTTTCGGCACTGCACAAGTTAGGCTAGGTCCCGTTCCGAAACTCCGTGCCCACCTAAAAACGTCTCCTTGTAAGCCGGAGCTAAGCCTCAGCTGAATCCGACCTTTTACAACTTCCGCCCCACATGACTTTCTCAAATTCGAAAACCCAGGCTTTAGTAACGTAACGTACTGGCTGACGCGTGCCGCGGAATTTAATGGCCCCTCCAAAGCCGGGAGGAATTCGGGAACTCCCGGGTATTCAAGTCTGGCGCCCCTTGATGACGAGTCTGCCAGGCCCGTAGTTGGGCCATTTGCCCAACTTTTCGCTTTTTTGGACGCGGAGGTGCCAGGCAGGGCGGGGGTGAAGCCGGAATTTGAAGCGGAAGCTAGGCGCTGTCGCTAAATTAGCGTGCATCAAGGCCGAAATTTGTTGCCGCCGGCTACTCGGGTAGGGTGGACATGCGAGGCAATAGATTTCGAGAGTGGCTCCATGTTTCTGGCGCATCCGGAGGGTAGCTTTAATTTTGCCGTTGAGGTGGGGGGAAAATGGGGGGAAGTGATGTGTGGGAGCAGAAATCGTTTTGAGAGGAGATGCATGCCGTTCGAATGAAAAATTCGAACGTAGGAAAGACTTTAGCTTTCTCCGCATAACTTTTTAGAGGTTCATGGCATATCAAAAAATGTAAAAGTAAGAAATTGCAGCATTGTAGGAAAGTTAAATAAGCCTAGACATTACGTTAAACCTAAGCCTAAGCCTAAGCCTAAGTCTAAGCCTACGCCAAAGCCTAAGCCTATGCCTAAGCCTAAACTTAAGCCTTGCTCGATGTCACAGTTTATGCCTTGATCAAGTCAAAATAAGTAATTAACAAAAAGGGTTAAACCCGAGAAAGGATAAAGCCAAAAATACCCAACGCAAAGTCTATAGACAATTCGTTCACGATTCTGAGATCCATTGCCATCCCAAATTGCCGTTGCTAATGGAATTCATTTCTTCGCATAGCCCCTGAATCCGCGAAGAGCCTCGGAGAAAAGCCAACTTTCATCGCGGCCCCCCGTTTTCGCAGAGGTCAAAATTAGTTCTTGGAATGCAGGCCAGTGATGGCAACACTCGGGTCAAAAGTTATTTTGGCGGAATAGAGGGTTGCTGGATTAATAGGGAGTGAGGTCAAATAATTTTTGGAGCTCGCGAATACGTGCGCTGCAGCTTTAGAGTACGAAATGGTGTTCAAAATTACGATTCGCTAGCTAGAATGCCCAGACGCCGGCTTTTACCTGACCAAAAGTTAAGTGGCACCCTGGCGGGGTGCTTTCTGATCAGCCGGATAAGGTATTGCAGGGGTTGCAGATGGCACGGAATCGTGTTAGTGCCTGAGATATGCAATTTTCGGGTCGGATAACCCTGGGCGGGAACCTAAAAACTACGAAAAGCTTCTTTAGTGAGAAAATTATGCATTGAAATAGGAAATGTAGGTCCGTGTCGAATGCAGGAATCCCTGCAAAAGGGTAGTGGAATGGATTATGTTGGGATAGATGATTTAGAAATAGCGAGAGAGCGAGAGAGAGATAGAGAGAGAGAGGGGGGAGCCAGCAAGCGAGAGAGCGCAAGGGTGAGGGAGAGATACTGGAGAACCAAATAGAATCAAATGAGTAAATAATTTAACTAACACCGAAAACTGCGAGAAAGGTGATTGAAATAAAAAAATTATTGAGAATTCCATCCCTAGCCGACGAACCGCCTACGGTTTCCAATAAAATCCCCTCAAATAAAGCGAATGTGACGGCCCTTGACAACGTTGTGGATGGATGCTTCGTCGTAGCGTCGGGGAGCAGAAGAACTTTGAACTTGCCCGCCGAAAAGCCAAAGCAGGGGTTGCTTCCGGTGGATTTCCCGAATTCCATTCACCTCAAGGGTTTTTGCGGTGCGTGCAAAAGGCGAGGCAGGAGGACCAATTTTCCGCCTTTAATGGGGAGAGCAGCTTCAGGAGGGCTGAATCATCTCTCAAAAAATTGAGTATCTCTTAAGGGGTTCAGATCTTAAGGGGCTTAGGTGTTTGAGGAGCTTGGTTACGTGATAATCCTATGTACACCTAAGACCGAATCGTTTTTAGTCCTTTCTAAGCGGCAACAAAAAACCTAAGCCGGGGGAGACAGATTCTCTCCCGTCGAGGGTTCGCTACGTTTGCGACAACCACGGGATTCCTTCCGACAACCCCTTCGGGGCGCGGCTCGAATTTCACCAAGCACCACCCGCCCAAATACCCGTGTGGACGTTGGCGGGGCCCACGATGAAATTCGCTTCTGGGCCTCCGATGCAGGGATTTTACGATTTGTAAGAGGTCATGTCTCGGGGTTTCGAAGTTGTAACGTTTGGGACGAAAATCACAAAAATAAAAAAAATCCGCTTGAATAACGTTTTTACAACTTTCAAATGTTGCAGAAGGTCCTAAAAACCCGCTCACACCCCTTCGTATTAGTTCATTTGTTAGCTTAAACCGTCCTGGATCTCCTCGACCTCTAACCAGACAGACCTCCCATGCGGCCTGTGGAAGTTGGGGATTGAGCTTTTCAGGGGTCGCTTTTGAAGGGATCGGATCGGATTCCCCAGGCTTCCTCTCCTGGGTTCCCCGTTCAGGTCAACTTAACAGCCCGAAGATCGACAGTAAACTTTGTGGAGGAACTCGAGGTAAATATTGGGTGTCGAAAATAAAATAATTGTTATAAATAGTGTTGCATATGTTTTCTGAAAGCGGTTTCGTAGCCTTGGATAGGCCGAGGCAAAACCTAAACCTACGCTAGCGATAAGCTTATTATTAGGTTTAAGTTCAGCTAAAGTCAAAGACTAAGTCCGAGTCGAGGCCAGATAAACATAAACTAAGCAAGGCAAAAAAAAAAATCGAAATATGCTAGCTTAAAAAATACTAAAAATAAAGGAAAGGTTTGGCTCAAACTTTGGTATCTGCAATTCGGAATTTTCTGGCGAATTCCTGGCGACAATTCCGCAAGACACGTTCCGCTATGAACAAGAAAGTCACCTGTCGCAAGCGTCACACAAAAACACGGAAAAAACCTGCTGCTCCATGCCTTACTCTGTCACTTTTTGGAAGCCCCTGCCGAACGACCCAATCAGCCGGTTGATCAATCGTTTGTCTAGTCGGGTGGCTGGGTGTGTAATAGTGGTACGAGCGGCTCGCGAGTCCAATATGACAAAAGCTACGGCTTTTGGGGATATGATAATTCAAAGTAAGAAAATCCATGAATTTTTCATGGCATACTTAACTTTTCAAGATTTGTAGCATTTCGTGAGACGTGTTTTTCGGCGAAGATCCTCCAATCCCACGACCAAATTTTTCCAGCCGCTGGTACATTTTAGGGTGGGTGGTCTGCGTGGTCGCTAGCGTGAGAGAGTAAGGCTCGGGTTAACCCAGACAACACAGCTGACTTTTGGCTAGGGTTTTTGTAGGGTGAGGTTGGGATTTTGAAATTTGGGGGCCGGCTTGGGGTGATTTCGAGATGAGGATTGTTGCGTTGATTGTATGAAACCAGCGTCGCCATCGTCGATTCGGCGCTAATCGGAAGACACATTTAAGGGAATTAGTGATGAGAAAAAGAAGCTTCGTTTTATCACATTTTCAGGGCCGCGCGAACGCAGCCCCTGACGCAAAAATTTAGCTGTAGGCGAACCCCAACTCGGAGCTGCCTTACAGGTCAGCCCGACCGAGAAGTGCAATGGCCAAGCCTCGCCATAGAGATCCCGTCTTCATGATCACGGGAATCTCCCAGCCAGGTAAGTTTATGAGGGGTGGGAGATCAAAGGATATGTGCTGGTCGTGGTCCGGGCGGTGGGCGGGTGGGAGGGCGCAATGAGCGACCAGTGAGCCCTGATAAAGGTATCATTGGCAGCATCTGTCACAGCCATAACCGATATAGTTGTTGCGAGGCAATCGATAATGATTCAACCCTTGCGGGTTTTGGCGGGATAACGAGTTCTTTAATATGTCCAGATTAGACCATACATGAAATCGACGGAATTTATTGCTCCCTGCGCTCCGCCCACCCGCCCCCCCCTGGCCCACTACCAGCACATACCTTCCCCTCCCCATCCCCTCATAAACTTACCTGGCTGGGAGATTCCCGTGATCATGAAGACGGGATCTCTATGGCGAGGCTTGGCCATTGCACTTCTCGGCTGGGCTGACCTGTAAGGCAGCTCCGAGTTGGGGTTCGCCTACAGCTAAATTTTTGCGTCATGGGCTGCGTTCGCGCGGCCCTGCCAATCCGATTCTTTACATGTTGAGGTTGTGCTTTGTTTATTTTTGGGATTCAATGGTTTGTGAGATTGAGCTCTCGCTGCTTTGAGCTGTTCCCTGCATTTGGGCTAGCCAGAGATAAATTGGTCTATCACCCTCCGGTCTCGGTGTGGCCGACAACTGACCGACACCAGCGCATCGAAATCACACAAGTCACACAACACCCAATTTTTTGAGGACAGGCGAACCTATCCTATTCTCGTTTTGCTGGCTTTTCCGGATCAACTATCTTTTTAAAGTTTTGCCCCTAAAATATGAGTAGCATTACGTGTTTGTACGAATTTGTTAAACTTTTTCGATGACTTTTTGTGTGTGTTTTTGTTAGTTCTTTTAGTACTCTCTGAGCCACGAAAAATATTGTGGACTTTAGGAATGAAGTGCCTTCTCCTGTTCCTCGGTCTCTTCGCTGTTTCCGCTTGGGCCACCAAGTCGATACCCGACGAATTTTTGGGAAAATGGGCGCATGAGAAGGACGAAAATTTCGACGAGTTCCTACAGAAGAAGGGTTCGTTTTGGTGATTTATCGTTTATCTAGTCGAATTAGCAAAAAATGATGATGGGTGAACGTTTATAAACACAGTTTGGAAGTTGCGATGTTTGATGGCTGTCGCAGAAAAAGTAGGCGAGCAGGAATTTGGCAATTTCATCATCACGTTTGAGTCAAGTCTGTAGAGCATAAGCAAAGTTAAAAGCTAAGATTACGCGTAAACCTAACTAGTCTCTAACATGCATTTTCAGGCGTAGGCTGGCTTACCCGCAAATTGATCCTCTTCTCCAGCGTCACCAAGGTGTTCGCCAAGGACAAGAAATCGGTAATGGGCGGCTGCGGATGCGGCAAGGCCAATGTTGGCTTAACTTTAGCAATTATACAATTAGCAATTAAATTAATCTAAATGTTAAATTCTAGAACGGCTACGTCATGGAGAGCTTGACCTCAAAGAAAAACGTCAAGTACGAGGGTGTGCAGCTGGGCAAGGAGTTCACCGCCGCGGGCATGGACAGCACCAAGCATAAGGTCGAATCTCTTCTCGATGACTTTAGAAAAACTATTTGTCAAATTATCACTGCTAGTTTGTTTCTAATAGCTTAAATATTTAGTGAATTTTCAGATTACCTTTGATTTCGCTGACGGCAAATTGACTGAAAAACATATCCGGTTCGAAAGTGAGGGCCAACCGGAAGAGACTTATGCATATTATGTCAAGGATGGCAAGCTGATCATGGTATGATATCAGAAACAGATCATGTTTTTGCCTGCAGGAGATGACAAATGGGGACCTCGTCGCCAAGCGGTACTTCAAGAAAGCCTGAGAATTATCTGTTTTTTTAGTTTTTTATGTTTTGTGGGAATAAACAATTTTGGCAATTTACCCGCTGTTTTATATGAGAAAATAAATTTCTTTAACCTTATAAATTAAAATTTAAATTAAATGTGCTGACTTATTTGTTGCTAACACCAAAACAAATATAGTCGTTCGGCTCTGGCCGGAGAGGGATTATTGATATGATCGGGACAATTGCACTTTCCGGCCGGGCTGGCCTGTAAGGCAGCTCCGAATTGGGGTTCGCCTACAGCTAAATTTTTGCGTTAGGGCCTGCTTTCGCGCGGCCCTGAAAATATTCAAACACTTAAAAAGGAAGGTTCCGTTTCCAAAACTTTTGTTGGAGGATTTTTTATTACTAGGTTTTTTGTGACCAGCTTGAGGATATCGATCGCTTGCAAAAGGGCCCAGGCCGCTCCTTTGTTCTTTTCTTTCCTATGTATGGTTTTATTTCTTTAATAGTTGATTCTTTTTTTCTAGGTTTACTTCTTTCGACTTGCTTAACAACCTAACAAGTCTGTGAGCCGTTCTCCGCCCTGGTCCAAGCCAGTGATAAATTGACCTATCAAACTCGAGGCCGATGTGGCCGACAATTGGCCAACACCGGCGCGTCGAAAACATATGAGTCACGCAACAGGGAAGCTTGCAGGAGTTGCGGATCAACCCAGAGCAGAAGAAGTGTGCCATTACGAATTATCTGACTTGCTGTAACGTTGTGTCCTCCGAATCTTCCAAAAAAAGTTGAAATCTTACAAGTATTACACTTTAGTTGGCAACCTTAGAAAATTCCAATAGAATTAGTACGTTTTTGCAAGTTGTACTTTACTACTTTCTGCTTACTATCTACTTTACTACTTTCTGCGGATAACGACCGCTCCACTTTCAGCAATGAAGCTTCTTGTACTGCTCGGCCTCTTTGCCGTCTCTGCTTGGGCCTCCAAGACGATCCCCGACGAATTTTTGGGCAAATGGGTCCATGAGAAGGATGAGAACTACGAGGAGTACCTCAAGAAGAATGGTTAGGCTTGCTGATTTATCGTTTATCGATCCGAAAATGAAAAAATGATGACAAAAAGTTTATAAACAGCGGTTGGACGTTGCGATGCTTTGCAACGCGCTGTTTTGCCGCAGCGGGCTTGAGTAAAATTATTTTGCCTTTATTCTGATTTGAGGTTTTTGCTGGTACGACGGCGATATAAGGTATATGATGCTGAAATAACATCTCAAAAATATGAAGTATCAAATTCGAAATAAGGTATCAAGCATCAAGGCCCACAACGTTCAATACTTAATAAATAATAAAAAATTAAAATATAAAATTCAAAAAACCCAGGCAGAGGCTCGATCGATGCCACTGTTTTCCTTGTATCCTACGACCCGGGTGACGCTAATAAGGAGACCTTTCTTATTAGCGTCGTCGGGGCTCCAAGTTTGGACCAGTCCCATCTTGCGCAAAATTTTACGCTGATTACGAATCCGTTGACCAAAATGGAAAATGAAATGAAAATGAAATGAAATTTTCCAAACATTTTTTTCGCAATAATTCGAAAGTCGGTAAGAATATATCGGCTCAGCTCGCCGATAGCTTTCGATAGATACCTACAGCGTACAAAACGAACATGACTGCGAGCCGTTGGAGGGGGTCTTTTTGGGACATCCCGTATGAGTGGAGTGGACACCCATAAAGAGTGGCTCAATTTGAGCGTTGCTCGATCTTGGGCCATTCATAACTTGGAAAAACGCGTGTCCGCAAATTTGTTAGCCATATTCAAGATCATCACAAATTTCTCCATAAGTTCGGTTTGGTCCGAGGTTCGGACTCCCAACCTCCTTGTGAGTTACGTTAATGCGGGTGGTTAGAAACCTGAACTGCGAACGTCTCCTAACCGTTCACTACCACATAAAGGTTTGTGAGCGGCCCAGAAAAGTTTATTCCGGTTGCAAAAACAAGCGCATTTCGATCATGGGTCGTTCAAAAACACTATTCTCAGGGGGGGGGGGGTGGGACAGCGGCAAGGTTTCCTTCAACTTAACACCTGATATCCGCATTTGTTATTTTTCATTTTTTGCAGTCTTCTACAGTTTACTTCCAGGCATGAACTGGTTAGAGCGCAAGCTTTGGCTCCGCGGCGGCGTCACCAAGGTGTTCGCCAAGGACTTGGAAAAGGTAATTGGCTCCCCAATGTGGTCTTAAACCTTGTAATTCGACACTAGCCCATCTTAAATCGACCCATATCGTAAAAATTCCAGGGTGGCTACATGCTAGAGACTCGATCGCCGTTGAGAGACATCAAGTACGAGGGTGTACAGCTGGGCAAGCAGTTTACTGCCCAGTGGCGGCCCAGCCCCAAAATTAAGGTAGCTGCGTCGTACCCAAAAAATGTAATGGCACAAAAACTCTGCCTTCCTGTAAAAACGGGCAGACAGGTTCAATTTCTGCGTCTAAACATGACTTTTGCCATTATTTTCTTTCCAACCTGAGAATTTGGGCAACAACAAGTATCTCCGTTCGGCTACCTCCAGCTTGAACCATTAGTAAAAAATTTCGGCAAATTCGAGATTTTGTCATTCGAGATTTTGTAATTCGAGATTTTGTCAAACTACCATCTTCAGGTTACCTACGACTTCGTTGATGGAAAGCTGACGGAAAACCAGATCCGGTTCGAGAGTCAAGGCGCACCAGAGGAGCATTATGCCTATCATGTCAAGGACGGGAAGCTGATCCTGGTACGATATCCCGCATCGATACTTTAATTTGTGTCTAGGAGATTTACATCGGGGACTTCGTCGCGAGGCGCTACTACAAGAGGGCCGACGATTAATCTAGTTTGTCGTTTTTGGGGTTGTATGGATAAACAATTTGTTGGCTTTAATATTCTGCATTTGTAAGAAATGCGTTGCTACGAGAAAAACAACACATTTTGTAGAAACCACGTCTTCAATGGTGCATTAATCGCAAAATTATGCGCGCAGTTGGCTAAATCTTCAAACGCTTGCCTCTAAGCCTTTTTACCCCAGTCTTCAGACGCTTATTTTGTTTCCGATATCCCGCCTCTAGTCTCATCGATCGCTATCGAAGTGCAATTGCGCCTCCAGGCCCAGGGTACGACAAATATATTTTCGAGACCCGCGGCGACGCGAAACAGATGCCCCGGGCATCTGTTGGTTCCCCGGGGCCACCCCCTAAATGATCATAAAAATGGGCGGCCTTTGCAGCAAAAGATCAGACAAGAGGTCAGCGAACCTCACGGGGAATCAGCCCGTTCCACCGGGCCGCACATCAATTTGCCGTTCGGGTTCGCTGCTACCGTACTCCTTCAAGTCTGCGGTTCCGACCTCAAGGCCCCTGTGGATTGTTAGCCCGAAAATCTCAAACGCGGAAGCTAAAAATCGGGGAAACCGGCCTGACAAGCCTCGACCGTTTGCCCGGAAGATCAGGCACGACAAGTTCGGACTACCCAAAAACCCGTTATTTCAGGGAATAATTAGTATTTATGCACGTTTTTCGTCGCTTTTGGATAGGTTTTTCTAAGAAACATGATCGTCATCTGACTTCGATTTAGTGGCGATCGGCGTGGGAGTTTTTGAGTCATAGTTGCTCGATTTGACGAAACTGGTCCCAAGTCAGAAATTCATTTGCAACATCCCCATTGTTTATTTTTCACGTATACGTATATGTATACGTGTACGTAGAGTTTTAAGGCAATGCTTAGATTTCGTAATTTCAAAAAAGCTTAAGAATACTTAAAGTTATATTTCGGAAAGTTGCCGATTTTCGAAAAATAAGAAAAACCGGTGGGTGGATTTCTCAACTCCGTTAAAAACAATGTGGTTTTATATTATAGAGATTTCAGGGTAAAGTAGAGGTTTTGTAATTTCAAAAAGTTTAAAACTGCTTCAAGTTAGCCGATTTTCGGAAAAATCTTATTTTTTTATTATTCTTTACCTTTAGTTGTAGTTTTCTGGGTTCTTTTTAGGAGCTTCTGAACTCCATCAAAAAACACGTAGTACTAGCCAAAAAATCCTGACGATGTCTTTTGAATTTTGAGACAACTTTAATTCCCATTTCATGGAAAAATCCGCTAGTCGCAAAGTGTAGGCCCCGATCCCCCCGTCGAGCCATTTGTTGTTTGTGTCCCATCGGCCCGGGGCGGTGGCATCAAGGCCTCCGATCTATCTATCATTGTAAACAATTCCATCAAATCGAACGATTCGACGGGCCGGAGGGGCACTATATAACCTCGGGGGGATAGGGCAGATATCGGACATGTGACCACTTCATTTTGCTTTATTACAATTCTCTATAACTTTTCTATTATCTTTCTCTCTCTCTTTCTCTCTCTCCCTCGCTCTTTCTCTTTCTCTCTCCTTGTCTCTCTCGCTCTTCGGTCTCATCTCTATCTCGCGCTCGCTTGCTCTCTCTCTCTCTCTCTCTCTCTCTCTCTCTCTCACATCTCACTATTCTATTCACCAGATAAACTTATCTGTTGTTTTGCAGTTTTTTCAAACCTTGAAAATAGCCGTGTTTTCAGATGCGATCCCTAGCTGCCCTTATCGTCCTTGTCGGTGTCGCCGCCGCGGCCCAGAACCTCCCCGAGAAGTACTACGGAAAGTTCGCCGCCGAGAACTCGAAGAACGTCAACTTCGACGAGTACTTGACTGCCAAGGGTTTGTGAAAAACCGCAAAACTGAAATTTTTCTTCTTTTAGGCTATGGCTGGTTCACCCGAAAGCTCGTGACGATGGCCAACTTTGAGAAGGTGTTCAAGAAGAGCGACAAGCCCAACGCGTTCAGCTTCGAGAACCTGACCAGCAAGAAGGTGAGTAATTGTTGTTGTTGCGGATACTGTAACGGCTTTGGAATTTCGATGGATTTAGCATCTTTAAAAAAATTTAGTTTTACAGTAGATTTTGAAATTAGCGTGCGCATTTTTCAGAACGTCTACTACACCGACGTCACCATCGGCCAGAAGTTCAAGGGCGAGGGTCTCGATGGAACCCAGCACGAGGTGAGTTACAGAACTGGCGAATTCGGCAGGAGCAAGTGTCCATAGAACTTTCTGAAGTCGTCGGGCCGTTATTCCGCACAAATACACGTGTAATTTTTGCGATCTTAGGTCGTCTTCGAGCTCGTCGGCGACCACCTGTTCGAGAAGCACACCCCCCTTGAGGAGGGAGAAGCAAAGGCCGAGACTCACGAGTACTTCTTCGAGGAGGACTGGCTCGTCGTTGTGGGTTTTTTTTAAATTGCCCTTAGCATTGCAAACAATTAAATACGCTCAAAACTTGACCATCCAATTTCAGCAAATGAAAGAGAAGGACATCGTCGCCAAGCGATACTACAAGCGCCAGTAAATGGAGATTTCACTTTAATTTAACCGATTTTAGTAATTATGCTAATAAATTTTTGATTTGCCTGGATTTCTTTGTTTGTCGATGAATTGAAATAATGAATGAAATGCAAGTTGTTCATGAGACTAGAAATACTCTCAGTTAGCGATTCAACGAGCTTTTGGCTTCAACTTTTTCCGGTGAAAGATTGCCTGGGTTTTTGCTTAACTCACTTTTTCTATAGCCCGTGCGCAAAGCCGAATAATAAAACCATCTTTATCAAAATGGAGCTATCCGAACCGAGCAAAAGTTATTCGTTTCAACCAACCGCAGTTGGACCGATTTCCGCCACCCTTGACTGAAAAACCGCGGTGACGGTGTTTTTCGTCTGTTTACTACCATCTATCGTTGTGCTGACTGTCGTTTTTTCTAGCTTCTGCGGTCGCATAAAAACGATAATCACAAGCCTGTAAAACAAGATACATAGTACTTCTGCCCACGCTTTCAAAACCTACGGCGAGCCAACAAATCGAAGTTTCTCCAGGGAGATCAAGATCACACTGTACGTGGCGTTCATCAGGGACGGGCCGAGTAGATGCCTCGTGCAAATAATATATAGCATTCTTATTTCATGTGTAAAAAGATGATCGAACGTCGTGAGGAAGAGCTAAAGATTAAAAAGACGGTAGACATGGTTGCGCTGCGGTAGTTTTCATTGGGTTTTATGGAGAAGTCAGAAAATTGTATCCTAAGCAAAAGTTTCACGCGTTTCTCGCTTTATTATCTGTTTAAGACAGTTTAAAGCAGCGAAAATTGGTGGGATTGGCCAATGTTGGTGGTTTGATTATCGATTTCGACATTTCGAGCAAACGAAAACATAAAGTCCTTTTAAACTAAATCCTGTTCGCGTCAGGCTCAAAAAAAGAGGAATCCCCGGGTGTGTTTGAGAGAAAGATTTAGAACTGTCCATACTACTTACCGAGCATAGCAGCACTTTTTCGCTGTTGCTGTTGCTAACGGTCTTCCGCTAGAAAACACGATTCATCAAGAATGCCGGCATCACCAGTCAGCGATCAACCCAGTCAGCTGACGAACCTTATGAAACTTGTAGACGATCAGAATCTCCAAAGCCGCCACAAAGTTCAAGACAACAAAGCGCATAACGATCATCTCGTGAAATGTTAGGATCGATGGGTCGATGTAAGGGGCCGACAGCCTCATCGCATAGACAACGATAAAGGGCACAATAAATTGCGCCCATGGCCATTTGAGGGTGTGGTGGAAGTAGATGCCGTCAAATGAAAGGGCCAGGAATCGACTGAAATGAACTAAATTAAAAGTAAAAGAACTGTCGGGATTTTGTGGAATTCCAAAATAATGTTGTGTCGGAGTAGCCTATAACAGTGATTTTTGGCCGTTTCCCTTTGGCCGAACCATAATCCTGATAGCCAAAACGTGATATTCGCGGTCATTTTACCCATAAATGGTTGCAAAATTCGGGGCTTTTGGCTGTCGGGATTTTGCATTGTGAGTATTTTGGCGTTTTCCCATTGCTTTGCATTTAACTGGCCCACCAAAAAATCATCCAATCATGCTGGAAATAGATGACATAGGTCATATAGACGAGATAGTCGAGCGTCGATATTAGGAAGGGATAAATCGCCTGGAAAACGTCGCTGCCACCCAGCCATTCTAGGCAGGGAAGGCTGCAAAAGAAGGGAGCTGAAAGCCAGAGCATAGCTAAGAAACCTACCAAAACAGGCTAGATGCGTACACCGGAAGGATGATGACCATCTGTAGGCCAGACTGCAACGCCGTGCCCACGAATTCGCTAAGCCATAATAGCCTAGGCGAGCGTTATTAATTATATTTATTCTAGAAAATTCGTCGTGTTTTGCTTTGGTTTGGGCAGGGTGCCAGGGGAGCGCTGATGAGGCACATGCTCATTTTACCGAGTTTCATTACGCCACTTTACACTATTATGCCGAACGTTCACTTTGCGGGTTTTGAGTATGTCGATTTTTTGTTTTTCTTTGCAGAATCCGGCTCGGAAATAACACATTTAAGTCTTTTAAAGAAAGTAAAAATCTATTTCTCATCAATGACGATCCTAAAAAGGTTACACGACAAAATAGGTTGAAACTCTAAAAAAGTCACATACCGAACGGGCAAAACTACTCCTGGTAGCCGTAGAACGACCACTGTCGCCCAAATGTTGGCTATAAAGCCGAGTATGTGGAACTAAAAACATTGTTTTTAGGGGAGCTTTCAGCAAGCAACTCTTTTTTCGCAATTCGTTCCAGCCGACAATGCAAATAGGAGCTTCAAACTAGACTTGTTCCAACAAGTATCACTTACAAACATCATAGGATGCGATAGAATTCTCTGAACCGCGACGTCGTCTTCAGTATCCGTACTATCGTCTCTGGCTTCCCCCCAGGGGTTTAGGTCAAACACCCCTTTAATTGCATCGGCGCCAAAGTACAATGCCAGAAAGATCCCTGCAAATTTAAATCGAAGTGAACGACCAGCTTTCATTTACCAAATTTGACCGCAGCAATGACAATTACGGTAACAATTTCGGTCAAATACGGACGTCCGGCCAGCGGGTTACGGTGCAGAAGGTTCATAGTGGTTCGGTACACAGGCCCGAACAAGTTTTTTCAGGTGGTAGCTGGTAATTGCATTCACGCGGCCGCAAATGCCAACCCGGGTCACCCTTTAGGTCTGTCAAGCAGTAGTTAATGTCTAATGATTGCGCCAGGGACTTTTGAAGTTCTCGCCAGCACGTAAAAGTTTGCCTTTCTTGGGCAAATAAAAAGGCAAAAACCCGACAGTCAGAAACTACAGATTTTAAAACCATTTATCGGTAAAACGATCGGAAACATCACATTTTGGGTGTCGGGAACTTGGCTGTCGGGATTTTGGTTGTCGATATTTTGGCTGTCAATGCTATGGCCGGAATTCAAACGAAAATTTGTTAACGATCTTTGACTGGTTTTGCCTGATGTGGACGCTGTAAATTGTATTCACTCGGAGGGTAAAGGTTGCTGCAAGTCGGCCGTGAAGTACAACTGGGTTGCGTGATTTTCGTGTTGTTCAATGTGCTGTGATGCTTGGTGATGATGATTCTGATTTCAGACTTGGCAATGATCATGTCTAGAAAACGCTCAATCGTGCCATGGGCATCCACAGCTTCCCTCCCCGCTCAAACCCGTCAAGTGAGTTATTAGGGCGATAATTGGAGGATTTGTGTGGTGAGTGTGCAATGTTTGTGAAAGGGGGGGACAATCACGGTTATCAGTCGAAGGGGACCAGCAGGGGCGGCAGGGCAGAAGTGCTGGCCGGAAGGAGTCCTCAATAAATCAAAACCTACCTGAAAAAACCAGAGGGCACATGTGATTTAGGGAGTGATAGTGCGGGGTAGAAGGTGCGAATTATGGAAAGTACGGTATTTGGGTCATAGGATGGGAACGCGAGAAGGGGAGGGCAGCGAGAGATAAAATGCAGAGACAGAGCCAGTTCGAAGATGGAGATAAAGAAAGAGAGAGAGAGAGAGAGAGAGAGAGAGAGAGAGAGAGAGAGAGAGAGCGCGTAAGCAAGAGAGGAGGAGAGAACGAAGGAGAAAGAGAGGATGACGTATTCGAATATGTCAATGTCGAAAACGGTAGCAGCTATTGAAAAAAAAGTCTCCAAACTTTGCATGTAAAATGCAATTTACTTTAAAGCGTTTGGATAATACTAAGAAGAAAACCTGGACAAGACATGTTTGTGGTGCCTCGCGGATAAACTACACCATTTGGGAACCATTGCTGTTTTGCTGTTTGTCTGGCTGCTGCTGGCAAACTGTGAGGTCTGAAATTTGCTGAATATCTATTGTTCGGAACCCCTTTAGGCCGATTGTCACTTTGACATATTGGTCCTCCAAAACTGCCAGTGTTGCCAAAGATAACACCTCCCAAAAAAACTTTGCCCCTCCACCACCCGTTATCTAGTAATCGCATTTCGAAGGGAGGGAACCCAGTCCCCTCCCTACCAATCCCCAATTGTAAATTTGTACGGTAGGGAGAGAAGAGGGGAATTCAGAGGATCAGAGAGCCAAAGCCAACTTATCTCGAAATCGCCCCCGACCCTGGCGCCATGAGGTGGCCCCCGGGAGGAGGAGCAGCTGGGAATTCGGGAGTTGCACTTGATTACGGTAATGAGTAAGGGTAACCTGGGTGAGAAGAAGGGCAAACTTTGGAATTGGAATCATGGCGGAGCAGAGGATAGAAAAAGCACAGACTAATTTAGCTTTCTTTCAGCTGGGTGTGCTAACCTTATTTGGAGCAAAGGCTGAGCCGAAGCCTAAACCTAAGCTTAAAGGTTAGGCTGAAGTTAAGTTAAAGTATAGCTAAAAATTAGTCGGCTTACCTTAATTTTGAAGTTAGACTTAAGCTTAAAAGCTAAGCTCAGTTAAACTTACAAGGGGATGGTCTCAGCTCGGAATCGAATTCGGATTTGAAAATTTGCACACTTACAGAGCTCGACGAGACAAATCGATTGGTGTAACTTTCAGCAGCAGATACCCCGAACTAACAAAGTTATAAGCATTTTAGTTTTTGCATGCATTTTGCAGATTTTTCGCCATACCTTCATAAGCCCTCCCCCTTCCCCCATCAGCGTGGTCTGGTGGTCTAGTGGCGTGGTACGCGGCGTCTGGGGAATCTATCAAGGGTTCGAACCCGCTCACGATTTTTATTTTTTGCTTTTTGGTCCAAAGATTCCTCTTGGCATTCCAAAGGCCTTTAATAGCTTTTTAGGCATTCACCAGGAACCAGGAAGCGCTCGCAGCAAAAAATCCCACTCCTAAAAATTTTTGGAAATTTTGAAAGTTGGCAAGGTAACCATAGTAGGATCAGGTCAAAGAAAATAATTGTGATTATTTTCATGCAGCTTGGGATACGATAAAGTGTTGATAAGCAGATTGCCTGCCTTCTGAAAATTTCCTCAAAATTTTTTGAGGAGGCATGAGCACAAGC